CTTGACCACGGTGTCTTCAGGTTACCTAGATTAGATGAAGTTTTGCGCAAGGGCATTACTCCAGTCATCAAAAACAATGAGACTAACGTACGTCATCCGCCGTCCAAGTGATAGAACTCCCAGCACGACCGCCGCTGCCATATTTGTATCCAATGTAAGTGGCCAAATTCGTGCTAAGTGGGCTTCTTACACCAAGGTTTGAGCCGCTATCGCCATATTTACTGTCCCTGTCTTCCACCTCTTTTACCACTGTAACTAATACATTTCTGTATTCGCCGTAAAATATCCGCCTTTTAGCGTCCTTAAACAACTTCAACAATTCTCTGGCTACCGTTTTCACAGCATCTGTAGAAAGTGAAATTTATTTGACATCAGACCTACCTGATTTATCACCACCACCTTGAGCATCTTTGTTAGTGAACCTCAACAACCAATCAATACATTCTTTCAGGTTACCCGGGGGACAAAAAACAAAGGAGTGTTGACCATTCGATGGTTTGTGTACATTCAACCAGTTATTCTGATGTGCCATATCTACAGTTAGGATTAACTGCGTATAGCACATAACAGCGGAAAGGTAGAATGCTCTAAGGTAATTAATTGACATCCGTCAACGCTTATGCGATTCAATTATCTAATTATCCGAGAACATTTGCTTTCATAGGTTAACTTAGATTGTTCTTGCTTATAACGTAAGATGACCCTTTTGTACGTTAGTCATTCCATCGGTAGCGGCCATCAATTAGATCACAATGACCGCAAATATTTGCAATAATCAGACACGATTAGGTCAGTTGTGAAGCAATTTATTCGATGTGTGTTTCCACATTCGTCTATTTGGTTGCCTTGGTCTTTGCAATACATTGATTAGGAACCGCAGTGGGTGCTGGGACATAGTATGCGTATGCATGTTATAACCAAAACAGAAATATAACGAGGTTATCATGATTGCTCAGTAACGCAGAATGTTATTCATAGCAATCGTAAAATCAATGCCATCTAGATTGGCTCACCAAGTACATCCACATCTTCATGAACTGTACTAATTAGCATTTGGTATTTCTAGCGTTGTATTTGTTTTATAGTGTAACGAAACAATCATTAGCGGTAATATTTGTCAGGGTATTCAAGCAGGTCATTAGCATTCTAATAAAATCAGTAGTCACTGATTTAGGTATTCTCATAATGGAACTGTAACCTATAAACACATTGGACAATGAAATTGTTCACGTTTGCAGTTACTAAAGTGTTGTAATGTAGCGACGTAAAAGGTAAAATGAGACAGTATAGATATAAATGAGCAGGTGGCAACTATGCTCTAAAATTATATTGAATTTCATAGGATTGATAATTGTCGGAACGTGTGTAGGGAGTATTATAATATTCCACCTTATTGATTGGCAAGGTGTTATGTCCTGCTTGTGATGTTATAAACACATTAGTAGAACCATTAATACTTTAGCAGTAGACTTACAGCGAGTGCTGTGTAAGATTTTGGTAAAATGGTTAATGTGGAGTAGAGTGTCACATGTGCCAAGGATTGTCACGGAGATAGGTGAAGTCTGTTACTGTAGTAAGGTGGGAAACACCGAAGTTAGCAATAACATATTATGAAACGGTTGCTGAGACTAAACGGAACTACGGGCGTAGTGATTTCAACTTCTTGTAGTACGCCATCGATGTACGGGCACACAGAACTACTCACGAGTATAAAACGTGAAACGCTAATTATAGACAAGAACACGTGATGATTTGGGGAAAACAGACGCATAAATGCCGTTGAACAGTGGACTTTTTAGTCATACATTTAAGGCATTCTATGGTTAAAGATTCCGAAATTTTGGTCTTAGGATTTCCACCTATGTATCAAAGCCGTTCAACTTGGTCATAATCGAATTAACTTACTCATCGATAGAGGTGCGGCATCATTACACGCATTACTAAAGAAGTCTATAGAATGCATTATTCATAATTTATTATGTTTGTGTTAACGCTATTTGTATAAGGAGCATTCTCCAAAACCATTTGTTTAACACACTTCTGTTCTATCGGATCTACCGAATTGTTTTGTAGCAGCTTCGTCTTCGCCGGGTCCCATCGAATAACTACGCGTTCGCTTGGAGATATGAGCTCCGTTCCGTGGCTGTATGACCCAGTGCCCATGAATATGCGAGTCGGTAGTTGGTCTTCCGGTGTTGTGTCGTTAACTACTACTTTCCTGTTGTCGCCGCTATTATCTATCAACACCTTCCAGTGATCCTTGCACGGCTGCTGCGGCGGCTCGTTTCCATACGCCTCGCATATCTCATCTACGTTGAATTTCTCAGGTGGCACTTTACTCCAGGTGGCTTTGCAGCTGTACAGCCACAACGTGTGGACCTTGTGCACATGAGAGTAGCTTGGGTCCATACTCTTTACTACATTGTCCGTGCAGTTCTTTCCAGCTACTACATGTGTAAGCCTTTTATCCGATAACTTTTTCACAACAATCGCACCCATTTCAGTCGCTATTTCCTTTTGTTTCTGTTCGCAGTCCGCCTGCAATACTTGACCCTTTGAATTCTTCCTATATCCCGTGAGCAATATGCCAACTCCATTCAGCACCTGAGATTGCATATCCTCAACGATTTCTCCGACACTTGCATTGAATGGATCTTCAAAGAACCTTTTGTGTAGTTCCAGAAATACCTTCACCATGTGTTCAAGGTGTCTGTCGTTGTCCAAATATGGCTTGTTATCGGTGTTTGGCAAGACAATGCCATATGCATCCGTGAGTTCAGCAAGATGAGAGTCGAAGAAGTCGTAGTGCTCCGCCTTGACAACCTGATTGTAAGGTACATCTGCCCAAACATCTGCCCTGTCGTCGAAAGCGACAACGTATCTGGGATCCAAATTGGGGTATAACCTGGCAGCTGTTTTCTGTAGGTCGCGTTCTCCGACGTTTGTCCTGGCAACTATACGATCCATGAATAATGACCTATCTGGGTCTAGTATGGACACTACTACGTCCGCATACTCCTTTGTGGCGTTGGTGTATATGGACATTTCGTAATATAGCGATAGCACCTGCAAGAAGCCACGTAACCCGGGCCTTAGTTTCATGTAATACCTAGTATTGGCGAAGTTTGGCATGGTAAATTTGAACAGCTCTGGTTCACCCAGCTCGTCCACAAAATGTGAGAGCTGCAGGTCCAGCATATCAAGCTTTGTCTGTGAACATGCGTGTAAAAGGGTGTTGTCAAGATCTAACAGTAGTACCAGTTTACCGTTTTTAACCGGGCCGGATTCGAAGCTAGTTACAACTTCTGGCGATAACTGTTTGGCTTTGGCATGTGCTCTTATACCAAGTGGCGAGAACATCTTGATTTCGTGTAGCTCATAATCGCGCCTATAGCGCTCTGGAGGCGACGGTACGAAAGTATTCACAAATGTCAAGTTCATTGGCTGACTGCCTTCACTGCTATCACTCGAAGCCTCATTTGAGATAACGCTCATGTTTTCTGACCCATCCTCGGCGGACAGACGCGCTCGTTTTGCTCTGCCACTGCGAGTGACATCAGCGAGGTTGACATAATCTGCCTTTCGGCTTTGCTGATTCCGTCTATTTATAGCCAATTGGCTATTTCCGGGCGTTTTCCCCGTACGAGGCGCTTTGGCCGCGTTTTTTGGGTAGAACGACGGTGGGTAACAGTACATCATGTTTGGCGGCGGTAATCCCATCATTGGGATATTTTTAGGCAATGGGAACGGCATTTTCGCCATCATGGCTTTCATGTCTAGTTCCTCCCCTGCCTTTGCAGGTGCCTTGCCAGCCGCATTCTTCATCATATTTTGGTACACCGCTGGACCCATGAAAGGGAATAGGACTGGCGCCCCGCCCTGTTTTGGCATCATCGGAGGCATCATTCCGAAGGGCGGGCAGAGATTTTTAGGGAAAGGCTGTGCTGCTTTAGGCATTCCCTGCCAAGCATCTCTAGATTGTTTCTGCCGTTTTGTCCATGGTTTTCCATGGTGGTTAAGGTTAGAGGACTCCGCAGCAGCGGAGCGCGGTTGCTCGCTTTTCCTATGCTGCGACATATGATTGCTAAGGTGCGAGGTTCTGCGCTTCACCTTTTGAGCGCCTTTTTCTGTTATTAACGGTCAACAAAATTTGCTGCAAGGTCCATCGTGTCCTGGGCCTCTAGAAATTTGGCTTTCCGACTACATAGGGATAGGTGTATGGCGGAATTGTGGGGGCTCACGAGGCCTGGTACGTAGGCACGCGTGGATTCAGACGTGAAGTAATATTCGTTATTTATCGTTTTACTGTGTTACACATTAAATAATATGCCAACCATTGCAATATACTTAGAGGTAGTGGCTTAGCCGTCCCATTTGCTGTGTCATTACTTTTTGACTGTAGCACGAGGGCACTTATTATAGTCAAAGTAATACGTTAGGTTAGGTGTTATTGATCATTTCGGTTTGCTGGTCATTAGGTGTAAATTAACATTGCTATATGGGTGATTATACTACATAATAAAGCAACCGCTCGAGCATTACAGTGGTACTTAGAGTACCCACGTACTGGTGCGCGTTTGATGGCGATATGATGCCCGTTGTAATGCTAGTCCCGGTATGATTGCAAATTCTCTTGAGACAGAGCTGAGTTTCCTAATATAGCCGCTTTACACATATGTGTGATTATAACTGCCATCACACACGTTCATCTCATAGCGTTAGATATACAATAATTCTGTTTTAGAACAGGCCAATAGTCTCTATGGTGGACAGTCACTTCGCTACCAAATGGATTATGTGTAAATTATCGACGGCGGTCTATCTCAAATGAATAGTCAAGATGATTCAAGACATGAATAAATCAATTTCGTGTTCTAAATTACAAAAATTATCAAATGAGTTCAACACACTGTAGGTTTGAGCTGCACAACACATTTGGTGCGACGATTGCAAAACAACCACGCCGACGTCTATATAGGCCTAAATGTGCTATGTTTGCATGAGTCTAACGTTACGTAACGTAGGTCTGCCATCATGTTAAAATGTTCCGCCTATGGCGGAGAGAGACAAAATACACTCGCCATTAAATTTAGAGATACCAAGACATTTTCAATGGAATACCTATGCCATTGCGTAGGACAGTCGGCCTCTTACGTCTTGATTAAATATACCCTTGAAGTCTTGGAATCCTTGGGTCGCTCCAATATTGAGCCAATATATCACCGCACAAACCCAGTCCATTCCATCCGTTGGCCACGGTTCACCCGATTCGCAGGTTGACCTCACTTTTATGAATTCATCCATATATGCCTCCGAAATATATTTCGTGATATTGAGGACGAGCAAATTGACCCCTAGGTTCATAGAGGAGATAGTAGATCCCATGCCACATTTTGTGTTTTCACTATTACTACCCTCGGTACACTTAGCATTCCCGTCAATAGCAACACACGCAATCATGATTAACATACGCCCTGCAAAATAGTAGAAGACGGTGAGAAAACCCACAACCCAAGGTTTCATGCGAATGGCTTTTGCGAGTGGTGATTGGGGGTAATGCATAATCCTAATAAAAATAAAAGCTATTGCCAGATAAGGTATTGCCAACAGCCAGATGAGATGATAATATCTTTTCCCATTTTTCCATTTGTCGGACAATCCTGCTTGTTCATTCAAAACATATATAGCAAGACCAGCTCCTGCTTGAAGCACTGTACACACTTTTTGAATAGGGTACTGGTAGTCGAATTGCACCATTTCGAATGGCGATATACGGGGATATATAACATATATCATTCCATAACCTATGGTGCTCATGACTGTCATCGGGAGTGTTCCAGTATAAGCTGTCCAAAAACCGCAATTGCAGCTAGGGGACGTCGATGAAACGGTTGATCCTGAACCACCATTGTTACAATTTGTATACATACAAGTAGTCCAACTGATTGCCGCAACCAACGACAGAATCAACAGAACAATCATGTGACATACTATTAGCCCATAATTTACATCAATCTTATATCTTTCCAATATTTTCATTGCACACCAATGTAATAGGCTTACGAATACACCGGTACACGACGCACCAAGATCGTAAGCAGCAATATTATTAGAGGCGATATCGTAGACAAGCATATCGTCTATACCTGCGACGAAATTCGCAAGAATTAAAACCCAATAGTAGAATACGATATTTTCGTTACCATTTCCCCAGGCATAAGACTTCAGCAGGAACACGTTGACAACTACAATAGTCCATGAAGACGAGACGCTAAATCCTTTCAAAATATCGTCTTTCCCTCTTTTATATAATTTGATCAGGGAGTTAATAGTAAAAGTTCCTAGTGCCGAAAATAGGTAGAATAGCTCCATGGAAGCGTGACACATTCCAACAAATTTTCCGACTGCCTCAGGCCCATAGCCGAATCGCGCCATCGCAAAGGACGACCCCAGCAGGCATATATTCAACGGCTGCAACAAACTCAGACCTTTCAGAAACGCTGCCACGGTTGCGAACGGAGTGGGCCCTTTATTTTCCTGCATCGCCATGACTACGTTGCAACCTAAATCACTCCAGACATTTCAACGGCCAACGACGCCGGCTACATCCCTGCATACCCTATGAATTGGAGCATTACATTGTATTGCTCATAGAACAATGTGTTGAAAGAATGTTCCTGTAATAATAAAAATAGACATGACATGGGTTTGTCTAGCTCGCATAAAGAACCCTATAAGTTCATAATAAAGAAGAACAACAAATCAAATATTAAATATCCATAAGGATGATCCGATGCATGGACTCTTCCTTCCGGCAGTTGCACGCCCTCCATTTTCCTAACGCGTGTAGACAGGCACACATTGCCTGATAGTGCTGTTGAGGACAGAATAAAAGACTGCGTTGACACACATTGGCTGATAGTGCTGTTGAGGACAGAGTAAAAGACTGCGTTGACACACATTTGGATATTTGTTTAAAGTATAAATGGGAGGAATTAGTGGTGTGTTGCCTCTTCATTTTTACCGGGCGTTGGGCATCCTGTGATTTTTAATTGCAAAAGGTCTCTCAATGTTGGTGTTTAATTTGAAAATTGACAGGTGTGAAAAATATTTGTATATGGGAGCACGCTGTCCTACTGAAAGTGGGCCATTCCTTACGTCTGTATTATTGTTTCGGCTGAGCCTCAGCATTGTTTTTATATCGCCAAATGCATCGCGAGGCGGTGTTTGATTATAATATTGAACGAGGAATTGGCTGTTGTAGATGTTAAAGCATGAACTAACGGCCTACGCCATGAGTATGGTGTGCATACAACCATCTCAACCCATTTTCATTTACCTGCGTAGCTCGTGCTTTCTGTACCTAACGCTGCTACGTAGAGCATGTGATTCCTTTTAATGGCCTTGGTAATGTGTCCATACCACCACTTCGCAATATTTTTAGATGTGTATGAATATATCGCCAGCTTACTTATTTACGGAACAGATATTTGCACATATGAAATAGCAAGTTGTCTCTAAACTGTATTATGGCACTTCAATTTACCATTGTGTTAAATGTGACTTGAAGGATTTGTCTAAGGGCTTTACCCAACGAACTCGTCATTGCTAGCGGACGCGCGTGGTTGCAGCTTGCGTCGACGCCTGCACAAGTTGTTCAATATTTTATTATGGTTAAATAATAATATACCGGCAATTAATTGGAGATAATCTTACCTGCCGGTGTATAGTTTGCATCTAGGAGGAAGCACTCCGCTTTTTTGATGCTGTCGTTCATCTTCCTATCATTTTAAATGGTATCATTTCGCAGTCAGGCAACTACCCGACCTTCAAATCTACTGTAAGAGTCAGATATATTCTCATATTAACGTTCAATTCAAGGTATTTTGTCAACTTTGCTATCGCTGCTATACCCGTGAAATGGATGGCCCTTCGCAGTGATCTGGTAGACCATGCCTGAACCCTCTGATCATAGCCGATCATCGGCGCTTCTTCCAGGTGTGGATAAGTGGCCATCTGAATGGAGTCCTCTGAATCGAGCACTCCTATCTCTCCCGAACGATGTGCCGCTTCTGCGCGAGCTACGTATGCGTGCGTTAGAACCGCGCCACCGTGGTGGTCTCCTTATGTTGCATAAACGTTTATTTCCTATCAACTATGATCCTCATTTCTACGATTCGGCCTGCGGCATACCAACCGACGGTGCGAAGTCTGGCACCGATGTAAGTTTCACTTGTTTCGTATATTACTGCATTTCAGATTTGGTCGGGGAGGAATACTATTGGCATAGGCATGTTTCTGCCTCGGCGTGTTTTGATGTCTAACTACGATTGTAGTTCGGTGGTGTGTTGCGAGAGCCCTGCTTCAAGTTCTAGCAGTTCGTCATCGTGCACAATCTCTCGTGAAAACAACAGCTCCACGCCAACTTCGGATGAAGCCCCTTCGTCTGACGAAGCTGACAACACTGCAGATAAAAGATCGTCACTTGGCTCCGAGCCTAGTGGGCAAGTGTTTTTGCCCCTTGACTGCATTTTGAACGACGCCACTTACGACAAAGAGATTGATGAATTTTTGGTCGGTTTCATCACGGTCTGGATAAACCATGATGAGTTCAGTCCAATGACGTCTGACGACGACTATTTTTGTTTGAAGAACTTTTATGAAGACGTGGTGTCTCCGTTTTTGCAGTTCCATGATCGCCATAGCAAGGCTTTGCCCGCACTCCCCAACTTTGATTTGTTGTCTGTCGATTCTTATCATTTTTTATTTTCGAATCTGTACAACAACAAAGTTTTGTTGGACTATTTGTCTGGCTTTTCTCTGCATTGTTGTAAGACGGTCTACTTACTAAGCGCAGGCATTACTATGGGCCTTCGGTCGCGGTTATTAGGTGCCCATTTGATTGTGTTTCTCCAAAGCATGATGTACTTTTTCTACTATGACGTATTTTTGTACAACGGGGAGATGTTTCACTGTCCTGAGGAGTCTCGTGTCCCGGTGTTGTCCACGTTACAGTTGCACTTGAAGAACGCGGTAAATGCCAATTGTTCCTTGGAGTTGGACGAAGTATCAGAATGCGAAGTCGCACCTTTCAGGTTGCCTCTGGAGTCGGTGTTAGACCACTATCGCCACTGTGAGAGTATACCTCCGAGCATCTATCTCCACGTAATTAGCTATAACTACAAGGCATGCAAGATGTACCGTCGCTGTAACTTCATATGCGTGACTCGTATCAAAGATTTTTATACGATTAAAGGCGCGCATTATTCGGCTAACGTATTCGCATATTACTTATGTCCACCTTGTGCTGTATGAACTATTGCAGATTAAGTTATCTCTATTTAGCCACTCGTAACGATTTTGAATCCGTCCTTTTTTAGATGTCTTGTTCTCATTTTATGATAGTGATACATGTAGAACTTCTGCCACGATCGTATGTGTTCCCATTCAACTTCATGTTCCACAACGATTCTTTGTACTGGATCACATACTTTAAGCACATACGGTCCATGTATATGCGAAACACAGTTGATTGCGTCATGGTTTGCTACACATGAGGAGATTCTGCCGTCTTCCTGTCGCACAGCAAGGGGCCATAAGTGATCCCAATCATCGGGGGTAACCAATAACGGTATTGTATGTCTTATTTGAGCAAGGTAAGTGCGATCATCTGTATCCAACGCTTCATAAATCTGCACATGCTGATTTCCTAATTTCGTCGAACCTTTCCATAGTCCAGACGTAGCATGATTTCTAGTAGTTTAAGGGGGAAAAGGAGGTCGTTGACGCTACGTACTATCACACGATTTTCCTGTATTAGCATGTTTCTGCGTAATAATATACAAACTCTTGCTCTAGGGCTACCGACTCCATATTTCGGCAACGTGGAGAAGCTACGAAGTGCCTTGAGTGCACCCTTCTGTGCCACATATATACAAAATGCGTCACACCTACAGTTGTTTCCACAGAAAGACTATCAAAGAGTGCAAGTGCGATAAGGGGTGTCAGTATTTTGATTGGTTCAGTGATTCCCCAGAACCTATATTGTTGATTACGTTGCATCATTTTGCCTACCTTCTTTTAAGGGCTCGGTTGAGCTTCCGCACTATGTCTTCGTCTTTAACACCGATATACGCGATTACACATATAAGGTTCGCTATATCCTTCGGCAATATGTTTGTTCGATGCGGCCGAAACCCACCATGGCTCCCAAGTTTGCGATTCTGTCTACAATGCGGTATACCACACATCTGACTATGTTCATATCGAACGGCATATCAGTGTCGGTGGCCGCAACAGATAACGTTGCTGTAGGGTTCTTTGATGCGTCTGAGTTGACATTGGTCATTGAGTGCAGGATACGCAATAGATCGATAGCATATAGAGTCTCTAGGCGCTGCATGACTGCAAGTCGGTTTATGTGTCACCAGCTATCCCACCTTCGTTTTCAATGAGCCTGATAAACGATGACGTGACCAGTTGCCTCTGAAAAAATCTGCCCTTAGAGCATGCGAATATAACCCGCGTGAGTTCATAATTGTTGACGTTAGTAATGTTTTGTGCCACCTTTTTGATAACCCTCTTGATAACATTTTCGAAATCCTGAAGCTGTAGCCCTTGGTATTTCCGTATATATGCTGAGTTTTGCAATGCCCTGACGTAAACGTTTGCGTTCCACTTTGGAAGTGTTTGCGTTTTGAATATGGAATGTACATAAGTTTCTTCATCGTCGTGCGATAAAACTTGCGTCCCAGATGTCGCGTCATCTGCCGTTATGCTTTGTGGCATAAGTCTCTGTTGCTTATTTCTGGCACCTTCAACTGCATCTTCGGTGAATATGGACGACTGCTGCCATGGCATCTTCCACGTTAACCTGACGTTTAGGAGCGCCGTCGTAGCGTTATGGACCTTTTCAGGAGGTATAAAAGCGGCGTTAAACCGTTTCGTCGCACATATACTCATTTTCTTGACATCAACGTGTCGTTTCCCTCTCTGGCCGTCTAGTATCTATCCAAAATCTTCCATACTCACACGTGCGATCGAAAAGCAGGTAGCAACGCATTGTGGACTGTAGAGCATCTAAAAATACGGGTGTGAAAGTGACATTGTTGACGCTACTGACGTCACACACTGAAATACCGTGATGATCATTCATTTGCATAAGACAAATACACACCTTCCATTACACATGGTTCTCTCATTCTGCGTTTCCCTTATTAAAATTTCTAATTTCAATTTAAATTGTATCCGCTTCTTTACCGTATGTCGCAACCTTCTCCATGGCTACAATAGAGAGCGGACCCCTGAGCTCATGAGCCAAGGTGCGGAAAGATGACAAAATGTAATGATATAGTCGAAGTGTTTCGGCTATTTTGTGTTTGTGGCAAGAGTGAGATAACAGTTGCTGTCGTGTATACATTGCAGTGTTTACATCCAGGGGAGTAATGTCTCCTCTATCAGTATCGTTTTGGACAATAGACGTCACAAGTGATTTTTAATATGAGGATATATTCCTTGTATGAAAATACTGTAGTGGCCACTTCGTGGCCGTCCAGCTGTACAAACGCAATTCATATTCAAAATTTATTCTGCGACTTTAGTTATTTTAGATGTTATAATAACTGCCAGTATGGCATTAGGGAATACTTTCGCCTAGAGCGAGTTGCGTGTCTTTTACAGCGGTTGACACTATGCGTAATGTAGAGCTTGACTACGCAAAGGTCACTGATGGTTCTTGAACACAGCACATGGTGCAAAATCCCTAAAATGTGACGAATACTATCACTCACTGGTGATATGGTTGTAGATAGTCAAATTATGACGTTAAAATTCCAGGCGCTATTTATATTTTGTATTATTCCGAACTCACCTAGCTGCTACATCCCCTTTTGTATTCCGCCACTTGTCTAAGCTCTTTGGGTGTTTCCACAAATAGAATTTCGTGGGTACCATAATCGTATCTGACGATACCAAATTTGCCTCCACAATGGCTTACTGTCGCATCGTCATGACTCTGAACTACTTCATCCGTCTCCCGATATTTGAACCTATTGATGTAATGCGTCTTTTCATATTCGTCCCTCACTTTGTAAATAGTTACGTTAGGCATCTCTCCAACCTCCGCGACCATTTCTCCTGGCAATTCCTTGGACAAATCCACAGTAATTGGTATCATCGGGAATCCACTTACAGCGCATCTAGCCGTATCCATTGGATGCAGATCCAACGAATGCTTCACGTGTCTATTGTTCTGCTTAATTAGGAAAAATGTATCATCGATACGTTTAACCTTGCCCGCCATCTCTGGTACTATGGTTGGAGTGAGCACACCACTGTCGAGAACTACATTTATGACCGCAGAAGGTAGCTTTGACGTTGGGAAAATATATTCCACAGCAGGATTCCTATCAATTTGCCATGCGTCATTTAGAAGTCGCGCTCTCATAGCAGTACAAGTAAGGATATGAGCGTCCCTTTCATATACGAAAACATAAACTAGCGCCGTATTAGCACTTTTGGCTACATCCGGTACAAGTACCGCCTTTATTAGTCTCTGTTCTGTGTACATATCCACGTTGAAAATTTCAAAATTGATTAAATCGGTATACGTCACCGCCTTAGCCTGCACAAAACCATAATTACCATCGTTGCGGTATTCAACAGCGTATTTCTTTGGTGAACCATCCGCATCGGGTTCATATCTCATACCCTGCTTTGACAGTTTAAACTTCAGATACAATCTATCCTTAATGGTAGTATTCGGATAGAATATCGGCAAAGCAACTAAAAGTTTACCCGTACCATGACCTCCGCGCATATAAAACAACACGGTGGGCGTCTCTGTGGCATCTATAAGAGTATCTCCTGATGCCGTCTGCAAATGTACTCTCATGGCCACCTGGTCTTCATAGGCCATTGTCAAGAATGCGTGAGGCTGCCGTTCTACTGGCATAGGGAAGTCCTTTATGAACTCAAAATCCCCTTTGCTACGTTCACTGACATATTCCTTAAAGAAGTAGTTCTCTTTCGCAAGTACATATATAGAAATCCTATCCAAGACATCCCCTCTCGTTTTGTGAATGTATATTATTTCAGTCGTTCCAACGTCACCTAGTTTTAACGGCCCAGATCCCGAAAGGCTCAATTCCCGTATATCAACATTAGATATCTGGTGAGTCGGTCGGAATACAGGTTTCACTCTGTAATAGAAACCGTCAGGTTGTGTAAGTTTGACCACTTCCACTTCAGGTTCTTGTTCAAGTTCCGTATCCTTCAGGACTATGGGAATCCTTCGCATTCCGGTAATGGCAATGAATGTCGTGTCGTTTTCGTTAAATCTCGGTTGAGTTCCTATACCACTACCGATGCTAAAGATATCCCAACCGGTTTCGTAAAGAGTCTTGAAAGATCCAGCTTCTTGTGGATGGACATCGTATATTTGCCTACGATTTTCGCATATGTCGACGCCAACCTGTGATATATTTTGAGGCGGCAAGTCGAACACTTGATCGAATATACCGGTGAAACGATATTGTCCACTTAAATTATCTGTTCTACTCGATACACATGACAATATTGCCGTCACAGGATCGTACAGAAAGAAGTATATTGTCCCATAACCCTCTTTAGTCTCGTCAGGTACTATGGTCCCACGTATAACCCTTCTCATCTCTCCTTCAACAGTGAGTGTTGAGATAGTATTAACATCGGCAAAGACGGCTTCCGTCGCTGGTACGAACCTTGACGTACCATTTTCGCTGGCCATCAACTTGTTATATACGGTATCCAGTTGTTCTAGATGATGCAACACTAGTTTATCCTCTCTGTAATGCAACGATATATGCAACCTATCCTTTACATTCGTTTGTGGATACGTGATCGGCAATGCCAACCTAACTGCGTGATGTCCTCGTTTGCTGCGTACATTCGACAACAACAACGGTTCAGATTGATCGTCAAGCAACGATACCCCGTCAGAATCTTCCAGCATCACTCTGATCACGAGCGCACCGTCATGAGTTATATGGTCTATTTGGTAGGACTTATCGGGGTTACCACACCTTTGAGTCTCAACAACTGGCGAACAAACGTCACCGCTCTTTCGATAATGGTCATATTTATTCAAACCACCCTTTATATAATGTACATCTACGCATTCCACTGCACCCCTATTCACGACGGTCACCGAGACAATGCCGTCTCCACGTAGATGCATTGTTCCATCCGACCTCAACACATCAATATTGATTCCGTCATATAAGAGTTTCCTTATATAGTGCGTGTTCTTGTAGTACCATTTCAGTTCGTAGTATGCCGCAGAACCTGATGCAAAGGTTTGTTTTATTATTTGCTTCGGCAATTCTTGCGAGAGGTCGAGGTCTATGGCTATTTTTGTCATTTCCTCCATAGCAAGGAACGTAGATGGAAGCTGCTTTTCGTCTTCAAGAGTGTGATCATCATCTGTCGAAAAATTGACACCATATAACCTTCCGGTTTCAATGGCGGTTAAAATGCCAGCCACTGGCGGAGCTAAAAGAGGCGCAGAGCGTCGAGTTTCCCGCATTTTAAGGGTAACATGAGCAACAGCGACAATTGGAAGTGCATATGTATCCATGGGCGTTTCTTGCACGGTCCAGACACCGAAACGCACTGTACCCCTTTGTACCAGTGCGGTGAGAGATGCAACCATGGTGTGATAGACAAAGCTGTATACCGTCGCATTCGCCCCGCACGGCTCGTCTGGCACTACAATAACCTGAACGAGCTCAAGGTTGTTCTTCAGCATCGTAACGTATTGTGATTCCACGAAATAATTGAAGCGCTTCCCTATCCCTGGAGCGACGTACGAACTTCCATCTTCACCTTTGAGTACCACATTACAAATCGTTTTGCTACTTGGATGATTTAATATACCTTTTCCATCCACGATTTCAAGGGACAGATTGAGCACATCGCTGACGTGATGCTTAGGCAATATTATTGGTACAACCACCTTGACCTTGGGAGACATGCCTTTATCACCAACGAATACCAGCATTTTGGTCTTTCGAGTTATATCTATCAGCGTTTCTCCAGCTTCATTTTGCAGAAGAGCATCATATATGAGTGTGTCGCCAACAGTTATTGCCGTAATTACGGCGGGCAAATCTGCCCGTTCATGTTGGAACCCGTTTGTCTCCACAAATGGGTCATCACCTTCTCTGCGGAAATACATAACTTTGGGTAGTGCCCCGCGCATGTACTGTACCCTCAGACTTTCCCAATTACCCTCACGAAGAACAAGGACCGAAGTAATGGTTCTAGCTAGCATTTCGTCATCTGCTTCATTATCGTCCACTCTGAACTTGATGTTACGGTACATTAGACTTTCGATATAATGTGTAGCTTTGTAGTTGTCATTGATCGTATACTGTGTGACGTGGCCCTTACGCATCGACCTCACTTGTATCTCACGTTTTATGGGCTTGTGAAGATCCAGCTCAACCGGAATCCTGGGTAGTCCTTCTGATTGCATCCATTTCAGGTCACTCAAATGTATACCAACAGTGGGCAAGGATGACTCACGGGCTATGTTGACAATGAACGTATTTTGTTTCCTCACTCTGCGCACCTCCCCTGCGGATTTGGGGTACATGAGTGGCAACGCTTCCTTATTTTCCGGAATCAACAGCGTCACTGGCGCATAGTTTAAGGAGGGATAGCCATAGAGAGTCACGAATTGCTGATTGTCAACGTCTGATTTCCGCTCATCCTTTTCCGTGTCTATAAAATCCTCATCGTGATCCCAGTTTCCATTTACCATCTTGACATTACGTACGATACAACTAAGTCCTGCCTGTGATGTCACATATATGAAACTATAGATAATGCCACGATCCGCTTCACCACTTTTCGGCACAATAATATTTTGTATGATATTGCAGTGTTGTTTCTCCAACCATATGGTCAGCGACCTAATGGACGGTCCTGCATTGGCCTTCTCAAAAACGAGACCATCATTGCCATAGACGACCTTGAGGACATATCTGTTAGCACGCTCTACCTTCACATGATTGTTTTCGAGCGTAAGTTTCATCTGTAACCTATGTTTGAGTTTTATGTTTGGAATGATTATTGGCAAGGAGTAGGCAATGCCCCAGTTCTCTGCCTCGGCATTGAATTCCAACAGAATGCTTGGAGGTTCAGCAGGATCGACCAAAGATACACCGGCTTGGTCCTGGAGCATGAGTTTGAGAAGCAGCATTTTTTTGTACAAAATTACGTCGAGATGATGCGGTCTATTATCTGGTATTACGGCACTAGCCATTTCAGCGAATTCCCGAGACGTGGATGACCGTAAGTATCGTTGCATATAGACGACTCCATTCTTCACGAATTGTATATCAATTTTTTCCCAACCTAAGGGATGTGCATATGTGACAGCAGTAACGGCGTCATCCTTGTTTAGTACACTCTCTTCATCTTTGTGAAGGGTGAAGGCAAAATTTTCCAATTTTATTCCGTAAAATACATTTTTATCTACATATATCTTGTTCATTGTGTAGAAATCGACGGAGTTGTCTTCCTTGAGTGTTACCTTATTAATTTCTTTGGGTACTTCATGTTGCAGATCAACAACGATCTTGTTCCTGCTTTCGAACCCTTCTTGGGCGAATTTTACAATATTATGTTCATCTCCATATGCATTATCTTCCTCTAAGGCGGCACTAGCGGCCTCGAAACTAGCGTATTTTCCGTACGGTACCCCATCCACATGGTATTTCACTGAATCCTGGTACTCGTGTGCGTACTTTGTGTTTTCAGGGAAAAGAACTGGCCTCGACTTCCCCTTTGTGGGTATCACCACCTGCGCGGATGCATACTTCGTGCTGGGTAGGTCGTATTGGTCTACGACCTTATTTCCTGCAACCCAGTTGTTGTAGGTGAATGTTCCAGCAACTACTGCGCAAGAGATGGCCGAAGTGATGTCATTATAAAGTATGAGATACACCTTTGCGAGGGTTTGGTTATTTTTATCCACGACGATGAGGTGTCTAAGGACGTGCTGTCTTTCCCCATCAATTATTATATGCTTTGTCCTGTGTAGATGTTCTACCTGTTCTCTGTTTGCTGGTTTCAGGATGTAAGCTCCATTGTCATACACAGCCATTTTGATGAATGAATCGTCCGATTGCCCCGGCAGACTGAATATTTCGTGTTGTACCTGGAATTCGACAACAACCGTATCTACAATCCCTTCCAATGGTACGCTGTACTCGAACATCCATGTGACTGCGAACCCTTCATTGTCGGTGGTTTTTGTTACGGAGAGCTTTGCACGGTGAACAGGCGTGATAAGCGAGACTCCAGATCTGTTTTGCATCATCATTCTGACCATGAGTTGTTCGCCTAGTACCACAGTGTCCACGTGCAGGGCCCCGTAAAAATTGGGAAGCTTCGCTCCTCTAACCTTCGAGAATGTAGCATTTCCGCTTCCCCCAATGTAATCATCTAGGTAAACCTTTCCGCGTTTCCTGTAGTGTACTGCAACCTTGGTCCAGTAACCGGAGTCGTGGTAGAGAACGCTTATGATTTCATCGTTTGGCAGTGCGTGCGTTGCACCGTGTGGATTGATCGTGAGGTTGACGCCATCAAGCATTACATGATTGATATAATGCGTTTCCTTGTACGAATTTTTTAGCCTGTATAATATGATATTTTGCGAGTTGAGTTGTATAACATCGATGGCACGGTCATTTAATCGGTTGTTGCGATCAATGAGTAGCGGCCTTTTTGTGATGAGTTCTGATTTTTCCTCGATGTCAAACGCGGTTCCTTTTCGTTTTCCAGCCAATTGATTTCCGGTATCCCAAAAGTTCGGATGCAGGAGTACAACTCCAACAATGACTCCTAGTGCAGCGAAGAATAGGCAGGTGGATACAACTCCAACGGTACGCCATGCCTTTTGTCTTACCATTTTGGTAGCTTAAAAATTTGTCTGTAATGCTCACACCCCTTTTAGGTACGATGCTTGGTTCTTACTGCCGTAGTTTTCCGCAAATTTCCCCGGGCGATTCAGGTGTTCTGAGAGAGTGAATATTTTGTTGCCTTGGCCGTTCGGTGCAGAGAAGGTGTCTTTATAATCCACATTCGCACATGTCTTGCGCAACAGATAGCGCAATGACAATATGCTACGTGGTTGGGGTTTTATTGTTATAGGATAACCCCTAGCTTACACACCTGGAGCTATTTTGCGCCATGGCTGGGGATCCTAATTTCCGAGAAAGTGTTATTCTTCATCAAACATTTCTACATTAAACATATAATTGTTTTTTTCGTGGATTTCCGTTGCGTTGTCCATAGATTTACTATTCATCTGCAAGGGAGTTGTGGAGTCGTGTGTCTGAGGGGGTGCGGTATCCAATGATCATACTCTGCTCGGTTAACCTGGTTGGTACAACATGTCTACCTGTCTATATTCCTTATAACGTGCATTACGTTTATGTATTATCTGATCTAGGACACCGTTTCCGTTTCGTGGTTTTGAGTGCACGGTTTGCCTCGTCACCTAGCTCTTGCCCATCACAATCACATTTTGTTTAACCTAATAATCAAGTTCAATAAGTTGATATAATTCATTATAAGAACGTTCAATTTTTGAGACGTTATGCGCACAACAGGCAGAGCGCGAACCTTGATGTGGTTGTCATTGGCCATTTCTAACCTCCATTGGTCATCACCAGTTAAATTGTGTGCTGGATACTGCATTCCGTATACTTACACACACTTAAGGTTTCCGGCCAAGCGCTTTGTGAATCGTGTGCGTGTCTGCGCCATGGAAGGCGATTCTGCTGATTTGCTCCCAGCGGAGATAAATCCAACCGTTTTCGGTATGTGTTGTAACGCTGGATTCACAACGTTCCAGATCGTGTAGTTGAAGGTAGCATCCCTAGCAAGAAGGTATACGAAGATGACTTGGTATGTTTTTTGCCGATTGTGTTTCTATATGCTTCAGATATTGGCATTCCACGACATAAACCCTGTAGCTCCTGTACATATTTTGGTTATTCCTAAGAAGCGTAGTGGTTTATCTCGTCTGAGCCGTGCCACTGACGAGCATGCCCATATTCTAGGACACATGATGGTGAAGGTATGTATATCATTTTCAGTTACTTATCTCCATACTTTCAGTCTTATATTCTGAGATGTGAGTTTGATGGCGATGCCACAAGTGTTACATTTCTTTGTTCATGGCACCCATAGGGTCAGTGCTGTTTTATTTAGGGGAGATGTAAGAGCCAACGCCAAACCATCAAATCCACCCATTTCCGTGCATGGATTCACATCTGTCGTACAAAGTGTTTCTCAATTCTCTACAGGTGGCACAGATCGTGCGTGAGAACAACATTGGTGACTTCAGGCTTGTAGTGAACAACGGCCCCCAAGGGGGCCAAGAGGTTTACCACCTACACCTACATATCATTGGCGGCCGTCCGATGGGTTGGCCACCAGGATGATGGTTTGGACTGGGTACTTGACATTCTTATTTTCGTATTTTTACGTCAATGTCGCTATATTGCTATATTTTCCCATACCGCTCTTAGCTGTGTCATCATACTCGGCTCTCCACCGTTAAGATACGAATCGATCTTTTGATATCTATAGAGAGTTGTTGTTCCGCTTTCGTTGACATGATGAACGGTTTCACGTTCCCAACTACTGTACCTAGCAGTCTTTTGTCGTGAAATTTTGGTTAACTTTCGTAAGTGTAAACGACGGTGAATCATCAAATTGAAACTATTTTGAATGTACTAGGTGCCAAAGGCTTTTGTAGATTGTTAGATTGTATTCATGAATCGCTGAGGAATAGCTAAGCATTTGTGCTGTGTTTGTTGCAGTTTGTTTATTAGTCAAGTCAAATTCTAGTTGTTGTGTATTATATTTCTATTACGTCGTGATGTGTAAATATATTTACCTTTTACGGGTTGTTCTTGGCTCGTTTCCGTGTCTTCGTTTGCCTTCTTGGCTGCGGAATCCTTATTTCGCCCCAGTAATTTATACTAGTCAGATTTAACCACCTATAATTGTGTTATTTACGTATGTCATGCTGACAGTGGGACTAAGGCCTGAACTACTACTGCAGTGCTCGGCACTATGGTAAAGGATGGCGACAGGTCACTTTCCTATGCCCTGTTGAAGGTGCCACTCCCAGATTCATCGGATTGGAATAATAATGACGCTTCTCCCCTTTGCGAGCTTCGCCGTATGATATCTAGGTTTTCCATGAGCACATCGGTATGTTTTTTTTGTCTGTTGCATTTGAGCGATGCTGTTACCATTCTTTTTTTAATAATATTACCTTCTTTGGTTTCTCATATGCATGAGTTGTACTATTTCAATTGCGATTATCATTATTTCTTTTTTTAGGTGGCGTTCAGCTATCCTTTGTCGTTTGGTGATAACTTCGGAGCAGCCCTTTTAAAAAAACATCAGGTAAGATGCGTATCACAGTTTAGATCAATCTGAGTATATATAAACATTTATATCCTTTATGTTGTTTATTGTGGGCATTAGTTTTAGTTTCCCATTGTGTAAAACAATGGTTTGCGCTTCGTTGCCTTGTACACTGTGTCTCGTTTAGCGTTACCTATTTTACATTGAAAGGTTTTGGAGCCGAGTTGTTTTCCTTAACTGGAAGTTTTACTACTTTAACTTCTACAACGCTCATACATCTAAGTGTATTATATTTGGGACGAGTTTACAGCACTTTGTGTCGATGGTTACTTCACGCTGTTTAGATTCGTTAGTGAAATAATGGTCTTTCACATGATGTCACATAGTACGCAGGGTGCGAGTTTAAGGGTGAATGACGTTTCGCTGAGTGCGTTGTGTAATGCAACGTTTATCAGGGAAATATTGTTTCCACATAGGCTTCGCCTGCAGAGCGTCGACCAAGTGCTTGGGCGGGGCTACGCGTTTTCTTTGAGTTTCGATGAAGGCTTGCATCTATCGGTAGGCATCCTATTTTTCCACCTAATACTTCTTAAGCTGTCGAGCGAATTATTTTGTGCGTTGGGTCTTTCTAACACTGCAGGGATGTACCGTCACAAGGGTATGATGATCTTATTTTGTTTTTGACACAAAATTTTTAGATGATTACGTAACGTTGCATTTGGACCTATTGTCCACGGGCTATTTAAGAGAGGGCTCTAAGCTCTGCCATCGCACCGTATCAGCTCTGAACCGCCTTCCTCGATGCGCAGCTCTGGCGTATACTGTATCAGATACAGGTAATATCGAATTGGAATCTCTGGTTTCCGAGCTTCAGCGGTTGGGTTGCAGTGTTTATGTGTTGGAGCCTAATGTCGTTACTTCTAGGGTGATTCCTTCGGCTTATCTTTGTCATTTTTCTGCAGTCTTCTGCTGATTCTGAGAGGCTATTGCTGGATCGCTCATACATATTGTCGACTGTCGAAAGCAGCCTTGAATGTGGTCACTTTCGAGATCCACCTGCCGTTTGTGTTACGGCTGCAACGCGTAATGGTGTTGTAGTTGCAAAGGGAAGCGCTTCTGATGACTGCAAGCGTCGTAAAGTCGTGTCTGGAGAAGGTCGAACAATAACGGAATCCGATGCATTCAATGTTCTTCTGCATCACAAAGATGTGCTCTTTAAAGCTCATCGTACTGTGAGCCAAGAGAAGAACCGGAAGGTTGATACGTTACGTAACGTGTTGCGTGAGCTGGACAAAGCGGGGATACACGACGAGCCAGCAAAAAGCTTAGTGATACGGTTACGTCATGGTATCGACACAATGCTTTTTCGTGCTCTCGCGTGTGGCGATTGGTCAGTTAGCTCAGGGCACTGCAACAGTGATTGTGATGTACAAGTTGTTTATGCGATGACAAATGTCTTAACACCTCCTGAGACGCTATTTGAGATATTTAGATCTGCTTGGTATGTTTTATGCGATATGAATCTTTTAAGTTTATCTCAGCGAGCATCTGGGTGATGATTTTCCGCTGTTCATTTTATGTGCCACTTCCGAGCGTTCATGCCGCTCCAATGCGCACGTCAAGGAGTTAGGTGTGTTTACAAGCTATGTTAGATAAACGTTTTGAAGGCACAGCTCCAGGGCACGATAATCTGTACATTATATGTTGCGTTTCTTCGTCTTCTGAGGCCGTGGCGATCCTGCTGACATCGCATTGAAGTGCGGTACATTGTAATTTATCACGTTTATATAGTCGAATGCAAAATTTATGGCCGTGCTCATTGCAAAAATATTTCATCATTTTGGCTGTGGATGTTTCCTAGAGTTGAGAGGCGTAGAATGTCGGCTTATTCAGGCACATATCGTACAACACATTAGCTGACAGCAAAGGAATAGTAATCGCGGTAGCAAAAGTGATAGGTTTAATATTCCACGCTTCAGTGTCTATTATTGTTTAGTTGTGTGTCAGGTAGTATGGGTGTGTAACTGTTCTAACTTTATCATTATTTTTAACATTCTACTACACATTTGAGTGATTTGACTTATACATTGCTTGAATTCTATGTGAAACGTGCTTCTAACCGACTCTTTTCGTTTCGGCTGTCGTCGGTAGTTATTGATCTGTCACTGTTCCTTACAGAGCGGGGTCACAACTGTCCGCGCTTTTCAAATTTGGTTTGTTTGCTGAAATGTACATAGCAAATGTAGTCTTTGGGCTGACTAAGTTTGCGTGCCGTCCACCTACTCCTTTTAGCTGCGTGTACGCTAAACCGCTACTTAGCAGTACCTTATTTCACACATTACCGATTTCTGTGACTATCAACGCGTCGTATAATTTTACACCAGCGGACGTTCCTACGATTTGTGTTTTCAGCGCTTTAATACCTAGGGGAGACACTCCGCTTTTATGCAGGACGTGGGAAACGAATATGCGTCGTCGAACGTATCGCTCCAGGAGGCGCAAACGTTTTATTCGCGTAGGCGAACGCATTCTACGCATCAGTTAATAGATTTGATTGTTAATTCAACTTTCAATAATTTTCATTTGTTTTTATGCATCACGAGCACTAACGTTGTACGTGCTTATGCTAATGTTGCAGTTTTGTCTTTCCCCGTTTGCCATGTACTTTGCATGTATTTTAGTGACCCAATCGTAGAATTCATGGTTTTGGGTCATTCGTGCCGCGAAAGGCGATTCTTGGAAGTTACTACTGATTTGTGCAATTTTTCTAAATATGGTCATGACCACCTTCTTGATGATATATGTAGTAACCCTAGTTGGAACCAGTCTCACTTCGGGGACAATGTTAGCACTCAGTTCAACCAAGGTGTGGTTTTTCATTGGATATAGCAAGAAGCATAGTTCAGCGGATTTTTGTCTCAATTTTTCCGGAATAGGCGTTATTTCTTGGCCAAGCAACACACATTTGCCATCCCTAAATGAGACGAATGACCCTGTATCATGTATTCCTCCTTCAAGCAATATGTTAGTAAGTTGTCTAACATCTGCCTCCGATTCCGGCGGTGCCCTGCACCCCAATATGAAACACCCTGATTCATCAAGTGCGTTGATTGCGATACCAAAGACAGAAGTCTGCTTTATTCCAACCACAGGGTAATCGTATGTTTGTTGGAATATCTTTGCTGTGTTGGAATATACATGTACATTTGAAGCCTCCTTTAAGAATGGAATCCACTCTGCCGATAAGTCTGTTTCGTTGATGACGCATATGACACGTATGAGATCGGTTAGAAGCTTTCCCCTTACTTTTACAGACATGGATCCGTTAGCTTCGGTCTTATAGAATGTCTCTAGTGTTCCGTATGACGCTTTGGTCCAGCCATCAGCTGTTTTGACTTTGTTTTTGCTGAAATGTTGCCCGAGCATGGTGTATTTCCGTGCGTAGATGAATTTGGTGGCATACGAAAAGTATCGCGACTGTTTGGCTCTCCTCACTCTGTAATCATTATCTCTGATGGCCTCGGTTTGGTTATTGTCGCTAATCCTCACTACACGTGGTGCCGTACGTCGTGTATTGGTATCTTCAGCATCTTTACGACTGGATAAAAGCGGTTCTTCAAGTGTGACCGCGCCATTATCCACTCGAATGTTACTTCTTGCAGTGTTTAGCTCGCTTTGCGGCGGTTGTGCCGATTCGTAATCGGCTGTTTCGACAGCCGATGCCCAGAGCCTTGAAATGACGTGTTGTTTGTAATCTAGTATGTGTCTTTTCATGGTTACCATGTTGAATTTGGTAAACAGGTCGATGACTAAAAGCTTTTCAACAAGGTTGGTCATGAATGCCTCATCTTCTGCCACGGTTGCGACCAATTGTACAATTGACTGCGGTGTATCTTTCGGCAGTCGTTTCATTAAGTTTACAAGAGGGTGGAGTTTTGTGTCGGTTCCCCTTCTATCCACACCATATATTTCATGTATCCTTTTGATCATGTTGCATATTATTTTGTCTGCGAATATGACCTTTTTATCCTCGATTGCAATCTTTCCTAATGATATTGAGTTTTCTACAAATATTTGCATGATTCTTTCAGTTCTTTTCTCATTCCTTGGGAACCTCTCTTCAGTGAGATGGTCATATTCGTGTTTTCCTGTAGAATTAAGAGTAAAGCATCTTTTAACTTTTGAAATGTCAATCGACGGGATATTAATTTCTTCCTCTTGCTCGTAATCCTGCCGCTGTACCAGTGCATATCTTTCTTCGAGATCACAGCTTGTTCGCATGTTGCTGTTGGTCGCCGTCTCATCGCATTCAAGAGCTACTGCGTCGTCGTTAACCTCCTCCATAACACCTTCATCATGATCTGTTTGTTGGCAACATTTACTGCTTATAATGTTTTTGAGAGGCGCCACGGCAGCTAAGGCATGCGTGAGGTATCTGTTGATCCTCGCCAGATATCCTTTATAATTTTGTTTCTGTCCCGCTCCCTCAGGCTCCGTTTCGGCCATCTTGCATCTTCTACTGGCAACGTGGCTACGCTATATGTGTTAAATGTGAGTCTGTCTAGTGCGCATCCCTGACCCCGCAGATGAGGCTGTGCCGTATTATTTTCAGTGTCATATACCTGCCGATTTCAGCAGTAATATCCCCTCATAAATTTGTGCTATATTTGTATCGCTCGGTTCGCTACTCCGCATATTTGGGTGTATCTAGTGCACCCCCGGTTGGAGACTTATGTACCGGTTAGTTTTAGTGGTAATATTCAAATTTATAAGCGTTGCTTGCTACATTATTTCATGTTGCTTTCTTTTTCATCTTGCCGTCCTGCGACATGATATAGGTTGGTTTACTACAGTTGCACACACCGGTATGCTGATCATCACCATGTGACCATCGCTGGCAGGTTGGTCCACGATATAGTATCCGCGGCGTTCCAGCTGTACGATCGTTCCTTCAAATAGGTGAAACAGTGACGATATCTCAATAACCTACCCCTTTGGAGCAGTGCCAGTTGTTTGTCGGCTAGGCACTCTGTGGTCCATTCCGTTATTGGTTCTAGGAATTTCCTCATATCTTCTGGCTCCGCTAGCTGCTCGGGGTCTATTTTGTCGACAGCCAACAGATCACCGTACTGCTTCAGCGTACACTTGATGAGCTGCATATTCAATAATGACACGCGTATTACTCGTCACATTTGCACAATATAACGGGGCGCAGGGGGATACGTGCAGTGTATCTGGCTTCCGGCTATTGAAGCGGACAGCTCCCACGTCACCTTTGTCTCCCAACTACCCTGCTAGACTGTTCCATAACCCTATTGGAATGGAGGCAACACTTACGCTCGAACGAATGTGAAACTTACCTTATCACTGTTCTTTGGAAGCCAGTGCAATTTCTTTTTAGTTTTTTTGAAGTCCCCGCTGGGATTGAGTTGGCCTTCAAATGAGGGCGTAGATACGATAACGTTTCCCCAGCGCATAAGTGTAACTTCTTCACCGTCTGTTATTTCTTCGGCATCCACGCGGTCCAACAGGACGATTGGTGTGAACCAAATGTCACATTCTCCCATTTCTGGGTCCTTTGGGTGCAGGCTTCTTTTTGGTGGCGGGAGTTCGACATTTTCGAAATTGTTGAGCTTAAGCTCGACAGCGTCTGTCCCTACAGCAGCGTACCTGGGTACAATAGGGTCTATGATTTGCTTATTTTTTGCCCACAGCTTATCCCATTCCATGAGGTTGACAGCCTTTGATGGCCCTTGTTCTAGAATGAATTCGAGTAGTGCCTTTATAGTGAGTCCTTTTCGCATAATTCCTCTGACCGTTGGCATCCTAGGGTCGTTCCATCCGTTTACTATTCCGTTGTCTACGAACCACTGTAGCTTGCGCTTGGAAAGTACGGTTTTTACGAAATTAAGCCTACTAAATTCGTATATTTCCACCGGCCTGAGTGCACACTTTTCGATAAACCAGTTGTATTGCGGTATCCTTGCAGAGTATTCGTTTGATCGTAGTGCGTGCGTGACTCCTTCGAGTGAGTCTACGATAGGACATGCAAAGTCGTAGGTTGGGAATGCCTTATACTTGTCGCCTTGTCTGTTATGGTGAGCGTCTGGAATGCATCTGTATATTACAGGGTCTCTAAGGCACTTGTTCGTGTGCGTCATATCAATTTTGGCCCTTAAGCAGAACGTAGTCCCCTTTTGTGATCCCTGCATTGTCTTTTTCCACAATTTATGTGCACGACTACCTTTAGCATTTCCTCGAAGTTGGCTATATTTGTTTCAACGGGTAGATTTCTGGCGGCTGATTCTATTCCTTCGTTTCTCTGGTATCGCATGGTATTTACATCTGTGTCATCGCAGTATGCAAGTCCTGCAATATATGTTTCCTTTGACTTTGACAACGCACCGTCTCTGATCAGTTTGAATGCGTATTGCTGCATGGTGTCAAAATAGTCCGAAGTATAGCTCGTGGAGCTGAAATTAACTCCGAGTGCTGTGAGGTCTTCTTTGATTGTTTCCTCATATTCTATTTTTTCCTTGAGCGGGTTAGTGTCATCGAATCTGAGCAACAAGCGTCCATCGTACTGTTTTGCAAAATAGTGGTTGAGTAGAGCAGCTTTTGTGTGCCCTATGTGAAGGTATCCTGATGGCTCTGGCGCGAATCTTACTACCAGTTTCCCGTGTTGCGCATTTTTGAGTGCATCTGCATTTTGTTTCTTTACTATTATCTAGCTTTTTACCTTTATATGAGTTTTCGATTTGTTCATGTTTGGTAAAGGGTTTCTTCTCGACTTGCACCTTGTTTGGTTTTGAAGGTTTATTTACGGTAGTTTGTACTCCTGGTATTCCCATAATGTAGTTATACCACCTATAAACATGCGGCATTTCTGCGATTCTTTTGCGCACGTCTGCAGCTTTGGACAAAGCTGTAAACTGTAGTACGTCGACTACAGTCAATCGGTATCCTACTAGGAATGTGCGTGTCGCCAGATGTTTGTTCATTTTTACGTAGTACTGCCAGAGTTCTTCTTCGGTCTTTGCAGACATAGAGTTATCCGATATGTAGTTCATCCACTTGTCTAGACTTGCAGTGCTGTCTATGTACAGCATTCGTTTACAGGAAGCAATGCGCAGGCATAGTTCTCTGAGTAGTTGAGGCTCCTGTAGCTTCACCTTATCGAGTACAAACGTCCCACTGGATACCGTCTTGTTGGGTTCAAAATTGATAATGGTATCGTCTGTTCGCATGAGTTGTTTGGCGATTGCTGCGATCACTATCGCTCCAAAGGGTGTTTCCTTTGGTGCGTGCTGTACGATCACTGCATCCCTGTTAACGTATGCCATTTGGTCACCTTCGCCCCTTTTGCGTTTATAAAGGGTATATATTGTCCGTATCCACGTCTATTGGCGTTAGTTTACCTTTGGTTCTGCTTTTGCCGTGTGCATCGATTTTTTCGTTACGCGCGTGACTCCGAATTGATGCCTTTAGTGGGCTTCCACTGTGCAAATTCCTGATTACCAGTTGTTTCGTATGCTAGGGTCTTGCGATGTGCGGATTACCAGTCCAGTTTGCCTCCCAGTTATTTCGCGAACGGTAGTGGATGGGGGCTACGACACCTGTTTGTTCTCAATTAATCACACTATAACATTATGTGGCCATGATAATTGTAGAATTATAGTTTGAACTTTGTATGTTAACGTCTTGGTTTGTGTCAATCTGCGACGGAACGATGCACAGCGGTCTCTCTTAGTGTCGCTACTCGCGACACTACTCGGCAGTTTTGTTTCGCTCGACCTTCTGCCATTTTCTTTGACGCTGTCACGCTACTGTTCTTATCACAGTACCAGTGGACGCCTATTCGAGTAGCTGTGTAAGCTCTGCGTATGATATTGCATCGCTTTGGTGTATAAGGATGTCATTTTCGTTCCTGCACCTGATCGAAGCCGCCGTTCTCATTTTGAATGCCATGGGTATTCTGAACGAACGGCGAGTACTGAAGCCTCTTGGTTTGGACAAGCCTTCGTCAGTTAATTCGCTGAAGAACCACATTTCTGTGATGTTTTTTACTGTGCGTACCTACCTTCGTGTCTTTCTGATCCTCATAAATTCTTTGCTTATTTTATTTGAGCTGGTACTGGGTTAATCGAGACTTGAGGATTGGGCTTGTGAACATCGCTACCAACCTTTTTGATCTGGTTTTGGAGTGGAGAACGCGGTTTGTTGCTATCCCATTGCATAGCGTAGAAAATTGGCGTAATGCTTCATGAGAATCCTAGGCGTTTTCTATAATACTGGAAAACTTCATTTCGACTTTTATCATTATTTTCGATGCTTATAATCTATATATGGTCTAAAGGCATACGGCTATACTCGTCACGCTAATATATGACTTATGTGTTCGTGGCGGCATACCTATTAGAGAAAATGTAAACTTCTATGTACTTGATCGGCTGATAGATTTCGTCGTGTGCCTGTGATACTCTGCCTTAACTTTTGTTTTTTCCAGTACTGCCATGAAGCCACGCACGCTCTCGCATACTAACTCTATGTTGAGTAGTGTATCAGTATCGTCGAACATTCAGTCTTGCAATACTGATCATGGTGAGGCATTGAGTGAATCTTTAATTGTACAAAAGGTATTGCTTGTTCTCGGAGGCTACGACGGTTCACCACTGTTTATACGATCTTTATCTGCGATCCCGGTTTCATCACTCTGCAGTGTGTTTGGCATTTTAAGTGCGCATGATGGAGTGAACATTGCACATCTGTCAGGAGCTGCAGTTTCTGGTTCTCTTCGTGATTTCTCCCGTTATGGATCATGTTCCCTGGCTTTGCGTCTTTTTTTGAGGATCGCATCTGAGTCTACCTGTGCTCTAGATACTTTTGAACTTAACGGGTTTGTGGCTCCATCACTGTACTTCCTTATTAAAGATAACATACTGTCGGATTCACTTGTATCCGGTAGGTACAAGTGTTCGTGGTCACCATCCGCACAGGGTCTGCTCGACGGCCTGAATGTACTCTGGGATGATTGGTCGCTCGTTTTATCGGCGTTTCATCGTTCATATGTGTCCTCGCTTCATCGAGAATTTTGCGGCGTTGAAGCCATTCCTGTGCAGTGCACGTCAGCCATTTCTATCTTGGAGCGTCGTCGAAAATTGCGTGAACGCACTTCACCGTTGTTTCGCTTATATATGGATCGGTTGGCTGGCCACAATGTCGTTAGTACTACTGGTAATATCGATAAATACGATTCGTCAGTATCTGAGTTCAAGGTTACATTGCTTAACCTTGAGCCGTGTTTACGACCATTTTTGCTGATAATTGAGGAGGTGGTCTGCATGTTGGATTTACTGCTGAAATATATGCATCGTTACAGCTTGAGTAGCGATTCTTTGTGTCGTGTGGCGACAATGTTGTTGATGCTCAATTTGCGATCATCTGAGAATCGCAAGGACGTATTGCTATCCGATGTTTGGAAATTTTTGCTACATCACACCTTGCCAACATTGCACCACTCGCTGTCATTCGGTGACCCCGAAAGTTCGTCACGTGGCGATGTTTCTTGGACCTATTTTGGAGGTCCTTTTGACGCACTGCTTAGAGTTCGCGCCAGTGTGGAAGAAGTTTACCTGAAAGGCATTTTTTCAGGTGCGGACACAGCTGCCAATGTTACAATAGAGTGGAGGCCGGCTATTCTGGACGATTCATCAGACACCGAACAATTGGTTTTACGGTCGCTGAATGATGTCATTTCAGATTCGGTACAGGGTACCCTTCGTATACTACGTAATGTGCTCGAGTATGGCCACCACTTGACATCCTATTTGTCTTTCTTGAGTGGTTTGTGTCACATGAGGGTAAGCGCGTCCGTTGTTTTTCTGGTTTCATCTGTTTACAGTACGGCGACTGTTTGGATCAGGTTTTCGCATTGCTAATTCTCGAACCTGTTCCTCTGAACTACGAAGTTCGTCTTCGTTCTTTACTGCATGATGCGATTTTAGGGTGGCAGCGTTGTACTGGGAGCATTGGTGGTTCAATTCTCTCCAACTACGAAGTGTCATGCATGATCCATTCCTTCGAGTACAGGGTTGAGGAAGGTGTACTATCACCAACTGTGGAATTGAAGGTGTGTTATCCTATAATGATTATTTTTAATGACTTTTTCGCAGCCTCTAACCGATCGTTTGGGTCCGTTGTCCAGTGTCTTTAATGACGCTGTAATGCCCAAGTACAGCTCTATTCTTTGTCATTTGTTGAATTTCCAACTGTTGTATCGTGATGTGAAACGTCTGTTACAGTTGACATTTCGGAGCAGGGGTACGTTTTGCGGTTTTTTCTTGCCTCGTGCTAGTTTATTGCTGATACAAGTATGTTTCGCTCTAGATCGTTACTATCGTTGGACGGTTGATTTTTCGTGGTCATCGTTGCTATCACAGCTTTCTACTTGCAAGAGCATGTCTGATATGTTGTACGTACATGAGGGTTACGTGAACTTTGTATTTGAGTGTCTGCTGGTACCATTGTACAAAGGTTTTGGGAGTTCTACATCTGTGGTAAACCCTCTTTTCAGCGAGTCGTTATTTTTAATTCACCGCTGTGCGTCTGAGTTATTGCGGCTATGTTGTTCTGGTGTGGACATCTCTCTTACTGAGTTTGATTCGGTTTATTTGGTCCTTCAGTCTGAGATTTCAACTTTACGGAGCACTTTGAATGTGGTTTGCAGTTTGTCACTGCCCGATGTTCCTACGTTTGACTTAGTAGAGGATCGTATCCTTTCATCGGTGGTTCGCGCTGGCATTGACCTGAACAGCAGTGTGTGCCATGCGCTATCATTACTACAGCGTTTGCTCCGATAGTACGTGACACATAGCATCTGCTTAATTACAAGGCTTAATACTGACATTAATATTCGGTAAAAGTTAATCTCTGTATTAATAATGTGTATTTCATGTTGGTGTGTGGCATCTTTGTTTCATCTGTGGCTGGATTCTACGAGGCAGTACTTTCCGTGATGCATTTAACTAGTCATTTCTAACTTATTTCTATGCAAAATTAATAGGAAATGACGCGGCAAAAGCGTGTATCGGTTCCGCCAATGCGTAACTTTTCTGAACTACGTCCCATCGGTAAGTGCTTTTGCAACTGTATAGGTTGTCTGACCTGCTGCAGGTATTGATGTGGGTATATCACACTCCGCATCTGGCTCAAGTTATATGACCATTGGCAACACGAAGGTTAAGTGCTGCGTTAACAGGCCCCGTTATTGCGGCAAGCGTTTTCTGCGAGAAGTGGGTTTGGTTACCGTCGACGTACGGTTCACTCGCAAAGACATAGCTCGGAGCTGTGATTTCGACCTGCGGCACGTCTTGACAGAGCTGTTTGAGCGCCACTTGCTGCTATCTCGTTACCCGAGGCACCTGATAGAAGCATGGGTGGTGGTCGAGGAGGATGCTGGTGGCCTATTCGCCGCTTGTGTGACTGGTCTGTGTTTGGCGTTTGCTGATTGTGGTATCCAAATGTTTGATGTGATCGCTGCTGTTTCTGCTGTTGGTTTTGTATGTTCCATATAACGTAAAAAAGCTCAGTTTGTCTTTTATCTGCCTGGTGTCGGCCTAACATTTGCCTTGGATTTGAGTGCCGAGGTATGTCTATATATATGTGCAGTAAAGGTTTTTGTCTGTCCTATATCTGTTATACGTGTACTCATCACTTACTTCAGGAGGAACGTTACTATTCAGAAGTTGACCGCGGTATGACACGTCTACATCTGGCGTACTGCCCCAACCTGGGTACCGTGGCGTATATGTTACAAACCGGAGTCCATATGGATTATAATGTGTTACAACAGGTATGTTTCGTTTTAGCGCTCTATATAGGTCTCAGCTATTAACCATGTGCCACGCTGCTTGCAACATAGCGTTTGTCGAGATAAAATCTGCTTTACATGGTTACATGTCGTGGGTATGTGAGCAACGAGGCAAACCCATTGGCAACGCCTCGTATTGCCCGGAGATCGAGCTCTAAATTGCCATGTTTTTGACTATAGACATAGCAAATCTCAAATCACAACTAGAGCTACGATTGTGTAGTGCTCAATCATCGCACATTGCTTTTGTTTTTGTGTTAGGTGTGGACCTCGACGGCCTACCTTGTCTTAGGTGTGACGAGGCAATCTGTCTTGCTACCTTTTAATGGTTGCGTCCTTCCTAGTGTCCTCTCACCGTTTAGAATTTGGGCATATCTGAATGATGTGTACTGGCGTTGTTTCCGGCCTTCTCTTTTTGCGTCGGATGGGGACGTCGTGTACCGGAGTGGGGATGGGCTTTCTCGCCCCCATGCCGCTGCTACGTTCGGGGTTTTCGTTAATAGCAAACTTCGTCGGTGTTCGGGTTATCGAAACGTCTTTTAGTAGGCGTGAATTATATGTTTATCCGGGATCAGCGGGATTGCGGCCTAGTGTAGGCGTTATCCATTGATTCGCCTGCTTGTCCTGGTACTCGCGGCTCATAACTTCATATCTTTACGATGGGTCGTATCATTAGGGGTACGTTTGTGCTCATTTTTGTTGTTTTTTGTATGAGGCCTGCGTTGAATGATGGGTGCGATGGTTTGGTGCCTGGACTGTCGTCTTGTTGATTCTTTGACCAGCGTCTGATTTCTTTAGCTGCATTTTTTTTTGCAACGTCTAATGTTTGTTCAGGTCAACGTAAGGGTCGTGGCTCTATTTTCAAGTCCCATGTTCATTTGCGCAAGGGCCCTGCTAAGCTTCGCAGGTTCGATTACGCTGAGAACCATGGTTACATCCGTGGTGTTGTGAAGGACATTATTCATGACTCTGGTCGTGGTGCTCCTTTGGCTAAGATCGACTTCCGTAATGCTTACAAGTTTGGCACTGACCATGAGCAGATGGTTGCTGTTGAGGGTATGTACACGGGTCAATATGTGTACTTTGGTCGTGAGGCTCGTTTAACCATCGGAAACTGCATGCCCGTCGGGAAGATGCCCGAAGGTACCGTCATTTCTAGTTTGGAAGAGAAGCGTGGTGACCGTGGTCGTCTTGCCAAGTCGTCGGGCACGTACGCGACTATTATCGGTCACTCCGATGACGGCAAAACTACTAGGGTGCGTCTACCTTCCGGAGCTCGTAAGAGTGTGGAATCTTCTTCTCGTGCAATTATCGGTCTTGTAGCTGGTGGTGGTCGTATTGACAAACCGCTGCTTAAGGCAGGTACAGCTTATTACAAGTACAAGGCTAAACGCAACTGCTGGCCACGCGTTCGTGGTGTTACTATGAACCCTGTGGATCACCCACATGGTGGTGGTAACCATCAGCACATTGGTAAACCCAGCACTGTTTCTCGTGGAGCTCCTCCCGGTCAGAAGGTCGGTCTTATCGCTGCGCGCAGGACAGGTCTGTTACGTGGTGGTAAGAAGAAATTCAAGAACGAATCTTGAACCTGTTTTCGCTAATGTGTGTTGCCTGTATAATACGTTCCCGTATTTGCGCGTTTCTCGTTTGAGCGCTGAGGCGCCGTTTATAGGGGCCGCTCGGATGTGTTTTTACGGCTTAAGGTGTGAGAGTGTAGTCTGATATCTAAGCGATAACCGTATGAAGTTGCAACGCATTATCGTTTAGTCCGTGGCGCGGCACGGCGAGGGCGCGCCAACATATGCGACGCTTATATGCAGCGGTACGTCTGAGTTTTGCCACTGCATTCGAACCGCGATGATTACACAACTGGGCCATGATAATCCATGTGTATGGATGGTCATCAGTTGGATTTGAGAGTTACTTTTCGAGCGCACTGCATCTTACTCAACTGTTGGCTAGGGGTGTAGCATTTATCGAAATTGGGCTGTAACAGCAGATACAGTTTGCTGTTAAAATTAAATACAAGACGTCCTTTAGTGCTGTGTAAGTATGCTTTTTTTATCACTGTTTGTTATCCATTTATGCACGTGAATCTTATGGGTGTGTGGCACTTCTATGACGATGTTATACCATGCAAGCACGATCACGCATTCTTATTGCTGGAGTGTGTTATATTTTGATGCACAGTGTTTTTCATAGCGAGTTGGTGTTCTGCCAGTCCCGTTTCATTACGGCTCCGGCTTGCTTCTAATCGCGCCGATTTGCTCCTTCTTTGAGGCTGCGGATCACATTTGTACACCGTATTTCATCAAAACTCACTTTGTCAAGATGTTCGGCACTTTGGGTGGAGCTTTTCGCCATAATGGGTCCGGGTTATCCCGATATGTGCGTCGATTGTCAAGTATGGGAGTAAATCCCTTCAAATCGTTGCGCAAGACTTTGGGGGCAACTAGAAAGCAATACTTCGCGCTGCGTGAGTTGGATGATCCGCGTTTTCTGCAACTGCCATATTCGATTCGCATTTTGCTGGAGTCTGCCGTACGCAACTGCGATGAATACTCTACGACAAGTGGGCATGTGGAAAGCATTTTGGGTTGGAGTGACACGTCCACCAAACAGACGGAGATCCCATTTGTTCCTGCTAGAGTGTTACTACAAGATTTCACGTAAGTGTTGTCTTCTTTTTCTATTGACATTTGATGTAGTGGTGTTCCTACGATAGTTGACCTTGCGGCGATGCGTGAATATGTTGCTCGCTCTGGAAAGGATCCTAAAACCATTAACCCCTTGGTACCTGTTGACTTGGTGATTGATCACTCTGTTCAAGTTGACTTCAGCCGTAATGCATCGGCTCTTAAGATGAACCAGGATACGGAGATGGGTCGCAATTCCGAACGTTTCCGTTTTTTGAAATGGGGAGCCCAGACATTTAGCAACACCTTGATCATACCTCCTGGATCCGGTATCGTCCACCAGGTACGTATCATTACCTATGATTGCTCACTTTATGTCAGGTGAACCTTGAGTTCCTAGCGCGATCCATTTTCGAGCGTGATGGTTTGCTGTTCCCCGACTCCGTGGTGGGTACAGACTCTCACACTACTATGATTAATGGTTTGGGTGTCCTAGGTTGGGGTGTAGGTGGAATTGAAGCTGAAGCCACCATGTTGGGACAGCCAATCTCTATGGTTCTTCCTCAGGTGGTGGGATTTGAGCTTGTAGGCAAACCTCCTTCTGACGTGTTTTCCACTGATATTGTTCTGGCCATCACATCACTTTTACGTTCTGGTGCCGGTGTTGTTGGTAAGTTCGTGGAGTTTGTCGGTGAGGGTGTACAACACCTTTCTCTTGCTGACAGGGCGACTATTGCCAACATGGCACCGGAATACGGTGCTACAATGGGTTTCTTCCCCGTTGATGGATTAACTCTAGAGTACCTAAAACAAACAGGTCGTCCCTCCGAAAAGGTTGAGTTGTTGGACCTCTATGCCCGTGAGAACCACATGCACGCTGGTGTGGGCGATTCATCTGAAATCAAATACTCCTCTATAGTGCGCCTTGATCTGAGCACGCTACGTCCTTCTATTGCTGGCCCCAAACGTCCACAGGACAATATTTTGGTGTCCAAGGTAAAGCATACGTTTAGCGATTTGTTGTCATCTAAGGACAAGGGATATGGCGTCTCGACTAGTGAGGGTCCTCGTAAATTTGAGTACAAGGGTCGTTCCTATGAACTGGACCACGGTTCGGTAGTTATTGCTAGCATCACGTCTTGCACCAACACTAGCAACCCAAGTGTGATGTTGGCTGCTGGTATGTTGGCCAAGGCTGCAGTTGAGCATGGTTTGGAGGTTGCACCTTATATCAAGACTTCACTTTCTCCAGGTTCCAAGACAGTTACTCGTTACTTGGAGCTGAGTGGATTGATCGAACCCCTTGAGAAGCTCGGTTTTTACATCGCTGGTTACGGTTGCATGACCTGCATTGGTAACAGTGGTGAGTTGGATAGTGAGGTTTCGGATTGTATCAACAACAACGGTTTGGTGGTGTGTTCCGTACTTTCTGGCAACCGCAACTTCGAGGGTCGTGTTCACCCGTTCACTCGTGCTAACTTTTTGGCTTCCCCACCTTTGGTTATTGCCTACGCATTGGCAGGTCGCATCAACATTGACCTAGTTAACGAGCCTTTGGGTGTGAGCAGCAAGACTGGCAAACCTGTCTTTTTCAGTGACCTGCTACCTTCGAAGGAGACAGTCGCAAGTTTGGAGCAACGCTTTTTGAAACCTGAATTGTTCAAAGAGGTGTACGCGAACATTACCAACGGTAGCGATGCGTGGAGGGCACTGGAAGCTCCAAAAGCTGAGTTGTACCCATGGGACCCGTCATCCACTTACATCCACCATCCTCCATACTTTGAGAAGATGAGTGCTCCTCGGGAGAGCAGCATTTCCGATGCTCGCGTTCTCCTGCTGTTGGGAGATTCGATCACGACTGACCACATATCTCCCGCAGGCAATATCGCCAAAACCTCCCCTGCCGCTCAGTTTTTAATGTCTCGCGGTGTGGAACCCAAGGACTTCAACTCTTACGGTTCTCGTCGTGGTAACGACCAGGTGATGGTACGTGGCACTTTCGCCAACATCCGTCTCTCCAACCTTTTGTGTCCGAACCAAGGACCGAAGACTGTGTTCCACCCGACTGGTGAGGTTATGAGTGTATTTGACGCATCTGAACGTTACCGTGAATCCAAGACTAGTTTGGTGGTGGTTGCTGGAAAGGAATACGGTTCCGGCAGTTCTCGTGACTGGGCAGCTAAGGGCCCTGCACTTTTGGGTGTCCGTGCAATCCTTGCTGAGTCGTTTGAGCGCATCCACCGCACCAATTTGGTTGGTTTAGGTATTTTGCCACTTCAATTTTTGCCCGGTGAAACGGCATCATCTCTCGGTATCACAGGTCGTGAAAAGTTCACGATCGATGGATTGGATAACCTCACTCCAGGTGCTTTAGTTCGTGTGAAGTGTGACACTGGTCTGTCGTTCGATATGCGATCTAGGATCGACACTGCGCTTGAGCAGCAATACTTCGAGCATGGAGGTATCTTACAATATGTGCTTCGCCGTATATGCGGGGAGTAACTGCAAATTTTACAATAATTATGTAGTACGATCTGTTTCTAATGTACAGCCCATTGTCTGACGTTATATGTTTATGGCCTGAGCGACAGCGCCTATTTGGTCTTCCATGTGTTTCCTTGCGGCATCTAGAGCCTGGTTGAAAGCTGAGTCGACGTCTTCCTTGGATATTTTTCCGTATTTACAGCCTTGGACGCGAGGCATTTCGATGCGGTGATATGCTCCGGTTCTACCTTCGAATAGAAATTGCATATGCTCATGTTCGATTTGTGTTGAGCACGACTCCTTTGAGTTTAGCAATATCTGCCACGGCGCGAGATCTTCAAGCTTTGTCCTTGTTGTTTTCTTCTTTGAGGTACCGACAGAGACGAAGGCGTCGATAGTTTCCTGCGCTGAGTTACTCTACGTCATGGACCAACTTACATCGACGAGAGTCCTTAGAGGGTATCCGTATATTTCGCTTGTCTCTCGTAATGCGACAATTGAAGGGTTGGAGGATATGAACCGCCCGTCCACGAAATGAGCCTCGCGGTCCAGTATATATCCCATTTGTCTGAGGTATCCGTCACTCGGCCCCCTGTATCCACATAAGAGTCGTCGAGAGCATTGCAAATCATAGACTATATATTCGACTTACTTCATATAGGTGGGTAAAGCGTTGGACGCCCAGCCAGCGAGCCACATAGGTGCGATGGCTGTTTTCCCGTAGGAGGCATAGACGTTGGTATAGTTCCGGAATACAAACAGCTCACGTTTTGTAGCCTTAACATTTGTGGAAGTGAGGGCGCACAAGGGCCTTGGTTTGCTGCACATAAAATCTGTGCCTAGTATATCTATCCATGATCGGACAAAATTGTTGACGTTGGCGTCATCGGATATTAATCCGTAGGTCATTGAATGCCTCCACTTGAAGAGCTGCTCTAGTATACTCTGCCACTGTACCCTTAGTTCCCTGGCAGAGTATCCCTTGAGTAAACATAGTGCGATGATAGCACCTGATCCAGATGCACAAATAAGGTCGAAATAGTCCGATATATTGGAGTTTATACCTTGTATTGAGCTCAGTCGTTGCTCTATGGCATATAATGCGGCTAGAGCGGTAGTGCCCAGATTATCGCAGCTGTCTATCGACAGTATGCGTAGCTTGAACCTTGGTGAAATGCTGAGAGGCACTGGTGAGCACCATCCACAATGTACTATCCTATAAAATACCGTGGGCTTCATATTTAATAGATTGGATGATATTGAGAACTCTCCGATTGCATCCTGTGTTGCGTATATTAGCAATATCTTGGTTGCTTTTGATGTGACAGTAACTGTCCCCTGGTTGGCGAAAGAGAAGTTGTCATCTCCGAATACACCATGAGTTATGAACGCTCCTCCGTTTGGTTTTACTTCTATCTTTTGTCTCTTGAAGTCTAGTATTTTATATGTGAACTTGACCTTGAATACATCTATGCCTTGTTTTTTCCTATCCACAGCTCTCTGCGTTCTCAAGAAAATCGTGTAGAACCCCCGATTTTGCAATGCGACGTGCATATCCTCAGGACCGCTGATTTCGCCTGTAATAATGCGCAGATTGTTGGCAGCACTTTGGGGACAAGCGAAGTCGTCCCATGGTCCAGCATCAGCATCTGCTTCCGTCTCCGGTTCCCTCGGAGACATCAGAGTTTTACTCACCAGTTTACTTGCCTTATTATAAATATTTAATGCGCTGAATACCGACTTTCCCCAAGTTTTCCCTCCTCCATTGCTGTGACCAACCGTTGTGAATCCTTCGAACGGATCTGCTTCTGCAACAGGCTCATCTTCGGATGACGAGCCATCTGAATCCCCATCAGTTAAGCCATCACCGTCTGCACTGCGTGACTGTATGTCAGAGTGGACGCTTGGCGACAGCGAGTGTGTCTGTGTTCTAGAATCTGTTGGCGATGTGTCGTTTATGTTGCGCTGTTCATCTTCCTCACAACGCGCCGACGCATATGTCTCATCGCTCGAGCTCGTGGAATCAATGTTTGACGATTCGTCGTTACACAGATGATCTGCACAGTCTACGTGCCTCGTGTATAACTGATCATAAAGACTGCTTCCGAGTGTATTTTCCTCCAGTGATCTCGGCATGTTCAGATTAATATCGGTACTCTTTGGCGTCCGTTGCTCTGTGTGTAGCGCCAACAGGGCGTTATGCGTTCATTCATGTCTGAGGTATGGCCGGAAGCTCTTCCCCATGCATTTGGTCTCAACGCACATTGTCATCGGTTTGTTTTACGGTATATTTGCAGAACGGATACGTATTGTTCGTCACTGCTGCACGGCTTGTTCTTTTATCTCGTATTTTAGTGGGCAAGATCGCGTCTTCCTCAAGGTATATTAATCACGCTATTTGGCCGAGTTAGCCATTATATTATGTAGCAATGTCTGGAATCTATCGCATCGGTACTTTGTTGCGATCAGGCGGCTGTCTACGGGTGTGCGTTGCCCCGCGTGCCTGTGCCGCCATTAGGCCATCCACCCATTCGACTTTGGTTATCACTCGCGCCTTTTCGTCACTCAGCACTCCTGTAACTGAATCTTGGTATCATAAGGGTTTGATCACACGTGCGAAAGCAGCATACGATGGCAACGAGGAGGTGGACGATGCTATGTCTGAGATACTATCATCACATCGTTTGATTCTTTTCATGGAAGGTTCTCTGGATAACCCTAAGTCGTTATGTGCGGGTAACCTCAGCAGGATGTTTACGTCACTTCAGGTGGTCGGACTTCATACCGTGGACCTGCTACGTGAGCCAGAAATTTTGGGATACCTCTGTATCCATCTGTAGGTGTACCTTTCACTTATGATAATACTTTTTCAGCCGTGAAAACGTACGTAACGTACTCTTCAAGGACGGTGCACCGTTACTGGATTACGACCAGATTCTCGAACTGTTCAAGAAAGGGACGCTCCTGCAGGCACTCGAAGTCGAGCGCAAGCCTGCCGACCCGGAAACTAACAAACATTTTAGGGATATGCCTCCCATCGCTAATTATTGATGTTGACCAATAGACATCTCTGATACTGTGTTTAACATTCTGTATGTAAGCGCCATCTTTGGTGCAATCACACCCGGTCACACCACTGTAGCCTGTTCATGCTTCTGTTCTGGAGCCGGAGGTAGGAGATGCATCATGAATCCGAATCTGTATACGTTGTTCCAGTAATCGATACATCCGCTGATTCCGAATCCTGCATCATTTTGTTGAATCATCCTGGAATAACTGTGACCCACCTGAGTAATCTTGGGCTTGCATCGCTATTCGTCCCGCAGAATCAATGCTACCCTGGACACGGGCGTGTCTGAATATGTAGTCCCAGCCCTATAAAGATTCAGCATATATCTTGAGATATCTTACCACACGCAGGGCCGATTCCTTCGTAGCAGGTGTGACTTCTAATTCGGTCGCTAGTGCAAGCCTTTCGTTGATGCGTCTTACGTATTGCATTCTGGCGGTATCTGTTTCTTGTATTGTGTAATCCATGCTCTTGAAGTTTGGCTGTTTCGACCATTGGCCTGATGTTTGTTAGGTAAGTTGTGTACTATCGGTCTTACATGTAAATATGTGTCCCCCCGAGACATATCGCCCTGCGATTGCACCTATGGATGTACCGTTAGCCACCTGTAAAAAATATGTGAGGATACTATACTGACTTACAACATAGGTGAGTTCGGAACCTAGTGTTAGACTGGGCAATAGTTGTTGCGTGTAAGCTGCGTTAAGTATCCACGTTCCTGCAACTGTTGCTTCATTCCAAAATATTGCCTACCTTGCCAGGCACCCTTTAGCGAGGCTGTCCATCCGTTTCCCACGTAGTCGACACCAGCTTCGTATGCGTTGCGAGTGTCGTAGCGCAAAAATGAATTCCCACTACCCTTGATCTCATAGTCACCTTGTTTAGAAAATGCTCTTGCGGTGATCATACCGTCGAGTCCTATTTTTGCCATGGCCAGGCAGTTTCCATCAGAACTGGCATAGTTGGTTCCAATTTGATAGAGATATCCCAGTTCACTCATTATGGTTCCTAGGAATAACGAATGGCTGACTTGCATGTTACTGGTGATTTGTCTGTCAGCTTCTAGCCTGAAGCCGTCATAGTTGTCCTGCGTGATAACGTTCTTGAACTCTCTTGAAAGGTTCTCAAAGACAAGGAGGTCGTAGGGCGAAGGAGGCTGCGGCTGCTCTGGCATGACCGGCTGTTCATCACAGTGTGCTGTTCTAGTCATTAGCGTCAGGTGGGAAGGGAGTAGTGCCGAGAGTAATGGTCTGGAGTTTGGTGTTCTTTTTTTCCATGAGGCCAACGCTGAGGAGAAGTTCCGGTTAATGGAAGCTAGATATCCTGAACCGATGTTAGGAGATGCTGAAGCGGTTGGTATTATGTCCTTAAATCCACATATCCCGGTATCATCTGTTGTGACGCGCGGTAGCAGTGTGCCACACCTGCTGCCGAATATACGGAGGAAGGACATTTTGTTGACATAGAACGCCCGTAATATGTTATTGTGCCGATTTCCGGTATCCCAGGTATGTCCGTTATGCGATTTATGGAGGCAATAGCCGTGCTCTCTTTCGCGCTCTGTATTCAAAGGTAGCGTCGTGTTTTCAGCAGCGGTACTACGTCGCCAAGCTATACATGGGCGCCCACCTCGGGAACTTAAAATACGGTGTTGAATCACCCTTTAGCTACCGTTGATCGTCGGACGTGGCCTTCATTCCCCCATTAGCTACGGGCTAACGGAGTAGCTACACCCCCTTTTTTAGCATCCTTCCACATTATGTTATCGTGCACGGATTATGTGTGTCGAATATGCGTGACGCTAGTGTGTGTGACATCGTAACTTGCCCCCCTGGGTACGACGATGGTCAGCCGGTTCAACCAACCCAGGGTACTGTGTCCGCCACAATACGACCCCTATTATTAGAGCGTCCTCCTAACATGTTTTCGGCATTGCAGATTTACTTAGCATTGATTACATATATATGTTAGTGCTCCCTAACGAACGGAGTCTCTCTGAGTTAGACGCCATTATCGCAGCGCCTTTAACACAGCCTTGTATGCGTCAAAGGGAATAGACACGTTGCCAACTTCAGCCATATACTTCTTACCCTGTACATTTAAGTCGTTAGAAGTGTTAACATGTCTTACCTTTGCCTGGTTGTCGAGTAGTTTCTTCTTGCGTGAAGGGTCTCCACCGCTACAACGCTCAGTGACGTTTTTACGTATAGCTGGGATGCTGACTGCTGCAATGACACGTTTACCTATTGCTGCTTGCAAATGTATCTTGAACTGTTTAGGTGGAATAACGTCCCTCAGAGTTTCTACGAGAAGTTTGCCAGACTTGTATGCGTTGTCCTTAGCCACTAACATAGCTAGACCTGGCGCTTCTTCACCGTTTATCACCACTCTTAATTTACACAGATCTATTTCACGGTATACCGTCCCCTCATAGTCAAACGACCCGAAACCGTTGGTTATGGATTTCAGGTTGTCAAAAAAGGTGGATATTATTTCGATCATGGGGACCGTGTACTCCATTACCACCGACTTCCCGCCAGCATACTCAACCTTGTTCTTGAATTCGCCTCTCATCTGGTTAAGCAAACTAGTGACCTTCTTTAGACAGCTGCGTATATTTTATTAAAGCCGGCCATGGACAACACTTACTCTCCTGGTATACGTATAGTCACATTAGTCCATGGCTCCTCAGCTAATTTTACCATACCATCATCTGGCCAATGCGCCGCGTCACTGACAGTGATCTGTTTGCCGTTTTTCAAGTGGCAGAGATAAGGAACTGAAGGTGACGTGACAATCACTCCAACATCATGTTCTCGTTGTAGCCTTTGTACAGTGACGTCGAGATGCAACAACCCATTAAATCCACACTTGAAACCGTGCCCCGCAATGCTAGACTCGCTAGGTTCGAATACTAGGGAATGGTCGTTGAGTTTGAGTTTGTCAAGTGCGCCACTGAGTTTCATGTAGTCTGTGCCATCGCAGGGGTAAAGACCGGCGAAGACAGACGGCTTGGCGGGCTCAAATGCTACCAGAGGCTCTACACCCCCCTCCTTAACTGCGGACTTCAGCACTACAGTGTCACCCACTGCCACTTTACTTGGATCCTTCGTGTTGCAGCAGAGCCAGCCTACTTCACCGGACCTGCAGGTAGTTCACAGGACCTAACGGCCACCTACCGCAACTGATCTTGTTCACGCAGTTCTGGCATCATTACACCAACTGCAGTGACTCTTGCTTCAAGGTTATGTCCTAGAAATAGTACATCATCCAGCTTTTTTATAGCCCCGTCAGCGACCTGTACTCGTTGTCAACACCACGTGTAATCTTACCCTCACGTAGCTCACCACTCCCCTGTGCGGATCATACTGGCTGTCAAAAACTAAAGCCCTGAAAGGTTTTTCTACGTCAATTTTTGGTGGTGGGACACGTTCGACAACAGCGTCTAGGATTTCTGTTATTCCGAACCCTTCCTTTGCAGATGCCATGAGAATCTCTTCCTCCTTGAAGTCAAATATTGTCGTTAAATCTGCAGCAGCAGCATCGTAATCACAAAAAGGCACATCTATTTTGTTTACAACGGGTATGAGCTTGAGTCCGCTTTCAATAGCTATCATCGATGTGGTCACTGTCTGAGCCTGTATGCCCTTGGTACCGTCAACTACAAGTATGGCACCCTCGCAAGCGGCTATCGACCTTCTTGCTTCGTGATTAAAATCTATATGTCTGCCAGCTTCTTCATACGTGAAAACACTATCACCTACCCTGGCGTGTCTATGAGATTGAGGCTGTATGTTTTACCGTCCTTTGGGTAAGTATATTTGATAAGTGCGCTCTGCAACTTTATAGTGATCCCACGTTCACGTTCAAGTTCCATATTATCTAGGTACTGTCCCTGTATTTCATGTGGCTGAACTGCGTGGATTTGTATTAGGTATATCCGTCATGTGACATACCTGCTTTGGTAAGCTCTAGGAACCTGTCAGCAAGTGTAGATTTACCGTGGTCTACATGAGCTATGATACAAAAATTCCTCATAAGACCGTCTCTATGTTGCTGATTATCCAACTTAATGTCATTTTCCTCATCTTCACATGCTTGCGTCGTCGTGCCGCCAGCATCCTCTGGCTCTACTCGGATTCCTTTGAGCTGGCTCCTATAATCTTGGAGGCAGTTTGTGCCAGGTCCCCGCCGTTCCGTATACCCATGAATAAATGCCAGAGCGGGGTCGTTGCGATAGCCTCGGTTAGGCGCCGATATGCTTGTTACGAACTGCTGGCAAGGAAGCGTGCTTAGCAGAGCTGCAGACGACCCTATGCAGTACCACCTTGTGAGTCCCACCATGCTAGGTATCTTTTAAAGTTCTAATTCTGTGCGAGATCTGCGATTCTACGGGGTGGCAGCGACACGCTTCGCACATCGTTATCGCCAGTGCGGTCATTGACCGCTTAGTTCAATTAAAAATCTATGAAATGTCAAACCAAATATATCATTTATAAAATTTCAGATAGACGTTTCAGTTTCGTGTTTGAGGGTGATTTGGATCAGCTTCCCACTGTCGCAATCGTAATCATGTCTAAAGCAAGTCACAGTAACTAGAAAGACGTCTCGGTAGAACATTAATATGTCTATAGAGTACCTTTGCCAGGTGTAATCGACTATTGTTTGTTCAGGTATACATATGCGTGAATCTGAGGTGTGTTGATATATTTGGCCCTCAGGGCATTGATGCAAAACCAAGACCTCTTTTATTGCTAACACACTATTAATTCACCAATATATTGTTTATTTTGACTTTAAAGGCGGTAATCAGCTGATATTGGCCGTTTTTGTTTTATGTTACTCGTGTGTGTAGCACACGACGCTACACGCATCCCGCCAAAGAGCCATATGATGAGATCTTGTAATATATTTAATTGTTAAGGTTTAATGTTTAAGATATTTAGAGTAGCTAATATTGTGGTGTGTGATTTTAGAAACTGATATAGATCGTTTATGTTACCAGGTGCTGGTCCCGAGTAGAAATGTCCAAGCTAATTCATCTCATGGGAGTTGTATTGGTCTAGTGTTGCTCTATCGCGATGATTCTCATTGGTTACGAACCCATCTGAGGGTGCTATACCTCATAATGTTAATGTCTTGGAGGCGTTAGCAGCAATGAAGACTCCCTTCTGGTTTTTTGCGCTCATAGCACTGCTATGGCCAGTGCAATGTAGGAAGGTAGGTGTAGGTATGATGTATATGTCTGTTCGCTTCTATGTGCAAATGCTACATGTGTCATTGCCCTTCTCATATCTATGCAGAAATCGCCATACTTTGAAGGTAAATATATAGGCATACCACGTAATAAAACTACATTTCCAACATATAGATAACGTATGTTTCAGGGCTCACGATCGATGAATTGTATGTCGACGGGAGAGCACCCGTCAACATGGCTAATCCAGCCCCTACGGAGGTGCCGAAATACTTGAAAGCGCCCCTTTCCAGATTTCCATCAACGTTGGTGGATACATTGATGAGGTCCTATTGTGAGAAAAAAGAAGGAGCATTCTCTCAGTATGCATGCAACAATAACAATGCTTGTAAGTGCTACACACCGAAGAATATATCACAGGACTCCATATTGTGGCAAAATGGCAAAGACTCGAGGTCACATCACCTGTTACTCGGTGTACCATATAATATTAGAAGCACCATAATCGGATTTAATTTCGTTTCTCAACTTGCTTTTGGAAAATGTCTGGACAGGCGGTACAAACCTTTGCAATTCGAAATACATTCTAATAGTGTAGTATTAGATTCAGAGGTGGTTAAAACCGTAGATACCTATAAGGATAGTTTCGTGAGAGGTCAGAAAACTCTAAAGGTTCAGGATGCCATTAATTTCTTCACGAAAGATCCCCTATGTACATTAGGATCTAACCTATACTACCGTGAAGGTTGGGATATAGAACAATGTGCCACTGGGAGTAGCTCTTATCGGCGAATGCATGAAAAGAGAGCGGTAACCAACAGCGGTGTCAAGCAGATGGAAGAAAAAAGTATCGTAACTCCCGGTGACTTGCAAGTAAACGACTCGGACAGCGGCGACGAAGATAATGTGGATGAAGATGAAGGTGAAAATGAAAATGAAATTAAAATTGAGGATGAGCGGCCGACGACTACTGGCGCACCATCGTTAATTCAATCCACTGTTTATCTACCAGATCAGAAGCTCGAGTACTGGGACACCGCAGTTGACTCAAATTCAGCGGCGGTTGCCATCGTCGACAAATACGATAACAGAACAACATTCACAGACGTGGTGGTCGACGTCCCTAAGTCAGAACAGCCTCAAATACGTTTTCTTTCCCCAGTGCCGGATGAAACGGTGCCACAGAGTGAAATTAATGACCCTTTGAGGTTCTGCAGCTCTTGGGATATTTTCAGAGAGAGACATCATATTGACCTTACCCATAGCGCATGTGGTCCTGTAGCCTCACGTCAATGTGACGATACTAAGAAAGGTCGATTTTGCCGACCTGTCGTTCAAAATCGTTTCTACATCCCAATACATAGGAGATTTCGACTTCCTATCGAACATTTCACGTTTTCAACCACCTTCGCAGTGTACCTAGGACCTGAAAATCTACGTTGCGGTAGTTACCAATCCTTCACGAAGGGTATTCATTACATTAAAACCCCGGAACTCAAAGGCGTACCAATTTTAGAAGAGGTTATTAAAGATGATCGTCGTTTCTTTAGAGTAGGACAATTCAGACCATCAAGGTCACCCGTAAAATACAACATTTGTATGTGTTCGAGTCATGATGCGGATGACGATGTGAAGACGTGTTTGCAATTTTCGGAATATACCAACCTTATTGGTCAGGTGGTCTTTACGCCTCCTCCGAAATACGAAACCGCCAATGTACAGATTGGTACCCATACTGTCGCTACGTCTAATACCGGAATTCCACTTTTGGTTGATAGCGCTTCGAATTTTGGTTCCTGCTCCGCTCTGTTCGACCTTTTTTCAATAGACTGGTCTATCCCATCTGTGGAACGCATGCCCAACCATGGCGCTCATATTACCGTACTCCAACGCGCTGAAAACGGAAGTATCAAATTAGAATTCAAAAGACCTGGATTGTATTATCTCTGTTTCGTGGATGAGGTGACAGCCGAGGTGCGGGAGCATAACGTAATCTATCTAGTCGCTGGTGTTCGTGATAATGTCAAGGCTGTACTTCACCGCAACACCTCAGGCGAACTTGTAGGCCACTCAGTTGTATTCCAACACTACGACAATGGAGTTTCCAAATTAGACTCGATTTTTGTGGTTAAATCTGCGACGGACTGCAATGCTCCAACCATCGGACATTGGTCAGGAGGTATCTTTCCATATTATGCCCATAAACTTCAACACATGAAGATGTGGGTAGCTCGTGACCTTAAATTGTCTTTGGATAAGGCTGAAGAGTTACCGAGGTATGCTGTTTGTGTACAATATGTCAACAATTCGGATAAGTTCCTAGTCGGCACTGCCCGTGTGGAGGACTACTTTCATGAAAATGAGGAATATTTGTTAGGCACACCCTTTTTAGTTAAAGAAGATCCTGTTGATGTCTCCAACTACGTGCTTAGGAAGGGATCAAACGAGATAACCACCTTTTTCTCTTTGTTATCTTCGCGTATTGCCTTGGCAAAAAAAACCAACCCCAAGTTGGTTGACAACACAGAATACTACCATGCTATCTTTCACGGAGCGGATCAGGTTGTGATACATTCCCGCACCTACGAGTCGTCCAGCATTGTCACATTCTGGGCGATTATAGACGATGATCCGACACTCTACCCGTTGACTGTGATGAAGTTCCGTGTCCCTATAGCCGTCCGTGTTGGTTTATTGACGGATACGTTTTTCGTCTACGTTCTAGATAGTTCAGGTAATCTAGCCCGTGTACCGTTTGGCCGGCTCATACACCCTATGGTGGACGACAAAAACCTCTTTGTCCGAAAGATAACCAAACCGCGGTATATGGATCTATGGTATTCGGGTAGCCTCCTTCTAATCGGAGTTGTGGATACTCATGATAAGTGTTTTTATCTCTATGATGGTCAACTGGAACACCAGCACAGCCTCTGCAACTCCCAGGATCACAGCTTCATAGACCCCGGTAGGATTTCCTGTGTAAACACAGAAGTATCAGGAGGAACTTCCAGTTGTTTTGTCGCTTTGCCAATGTTAAACGAAGTAGCATGGTTGGATATCCATGTCAATCCACTCCGCTTGGGATATGTGGATCGTTATAAACAGGGCTCATCTCTCTATGATTTCAACTCCGTAGGTGGAAGTCCTGCTTCAGTTTTCGCGATGCAATACAAAAATGACGCAATGGTCTTCGTCGTCAATGAGAGCGGTGAACATGGATTTTTGTTACACGCGGATCGGTCTCATGGGCGGTTGAGCTATATGTACCCTCTTACAAACGTAGCACGAGGTTGTTTGTTACGTGGTATTTCCCCGATATTGGTCAACACAACTAACAGTCGTGCCATGCTACTCTGTGAGTCTTACCCGTCCTCCCTTTTGGATCCCTCCCTAAATGTAGAAGGGGTGCTGGAAAGCAGCCGCGCACTTCAATCGTCACGTTGGGGGTTTATGCGGATGATGATCGACGATTTGGTGCAGGTTCCATCGCTCACGTATGAATTGGATCCATGGTTTATCATCGGGAATTCATACGATGTACATCCTACCCCTCATGGCAGGGTGAATCGACGATTCCCGCATGAACAGTATCGACTGGAGCCTAAAGATGGCGTGGCTCCCGATTTGCACAAGAACTATGTATCAGTGAACAATGAGGGTAAACTACACATCCAGTCCCCTGTCGTCCTAACTGCAACGTATGATGTTGTGCGGAGCAACATGTGGCTTTCTGATCGAACCACGGTGGTAATTAACATAAGCTGCCCTGATGGAAAATATTTTGACGGTTCTACCTGCCAACTATGTCCAGTCGGAACCTACAACTCGTTTAAATACAGTATTAACAACCCGGAATTTCTACATCGATGTAAACCATGTGCCCCTACAGAGTCGACGATGAGTGTTGGTTCGGCCTCGGAGGATGACTGTACTTGTATGGCGGGTCATACGCTACTAGAGGAACCCAGAGGAGACTTGCGTTGCCGACCGTGTAGCGGTTCTACGTACAAATCGAAACTGGGTTTTGATAAGTGCATAGGAACTTGCGGCCCCAATGCCTACTCCACCGCCACTGGTAGCCTTTCGCACGTTGATATGTTCTGTCGGTGTTTCCCAGGGTTTTATTTCATAAGGACTCGTGAAAACGCCTCTGGTGTTTGCAAACCCTGCGAGGAAGGATACTACTGCCTCGGTGGGTACAAGTCTAAACAACAGAAGTGCCCGATCTTCACGACAACCTTGGCTCAGGCGGCAAGTAGCATTAATGATTGTGTATGTCTCGCAGGCTATCAGCCTGCTGATGTGGATCGTATATTGCAAGAGGGTACTTACGAGCACGATCTCGCCCAAAAGATCCTATCCACGCACAAACTTAAAGACTACCATAGATGGGTTTGTGTGCCATGCCCCAATAACAAGTACAAGGACAGGCCGAGCTCGCAGCCATGCAGTTTATGTCCCAACAATACCTACAGCTGGTCCAGCGGGAACGATAGTGTCGAGAAATGTAATCGATGTGCTCCTGGATACTTCGAAACCGGTGACTCTCTCAACCCATGCGAAGCATGTCCTCCTAACCACATTTGTGTAGGATCTGATCCCGTAGATTCTGAACTGAAGGTATACAGTGGTAAGAGGATCAAGTGCCACAAAAACGCAATCACTATTCCCCCGTACGAGAAGAACACCGCCTTGAATCTCTGTCTCTGTGACAAGGGCTACATGTCTCGAACACGTTATGGTATTGTTAAGTGCGAGGCCGTCCCTAAGAACACATACAAGGACATTATTGGCAATGTTGGTGCCAAAGAATGTCCTCATGGGTCATACACGTTACTTACAGGTGCTATTTCAGTCTCTGAATGTGTCTGCAGCAAGGGTATGTATTTTGATGAGACGAATAAACACTGTACTATATGCCCCTTGGGAAGATACTGTTTGGGTGGTCGTCTGCCTAACGGCGAACACATGCCCCCTACGTTGTGTTCCGACGGTAATGCGGTGACCAAGGAACCTGGTGCTTCGAGTGCCAGCGAATGTCTATGCAAACCTGGATACTACATGCGTCAGGATGGTCTGGGTGGCTGCATTGAGTGTCCTGAAAACACCTACAAATCTCACGCTTCAAACGAAAGCTGCACTCCCTGTGAAAAGAATTCGATGACGTATGGTGTAATTGGAGCGACATCTGAGAGTCAGTGTGTTTGTTCCCCTGGATATTTCTTAGATGGTACATGTAAGGCCTGTGGATCTCCTGACCAGTACTGTCCGGGTAGTCACATGGTAAGACTTGATGATCTAACGGGCAAGGCTGTATACGAAACACAAGCTCCAGTAGAATGCCCACCTAACACCGAAATACCACCAGGTGTTGACACAGCTGACAGTGTTGACAGCTGTAAGTGTGCTATAGGTTTTGCTCTCGCAAAACGAGAAGAAGGAGTAACTGAGAAAATATGCATACCATGCGCTCCAGGGTCCTACAAAAGTTCAGTTATGGACTCCAGCTGTCACGGACTTTGTACCCAAAATGCTACGAGTAAACCAGGCGCTCACAGTCCAAGCCAATGTTATTGCCAGAAGGGATACTATTACTTGTCCGGGGGTATATGTGCGCCGTGTGTTGAAGGAGCAAGATGTGATGGTGGTCTAATAGAGAAAGGGGATTCCGGTTATAGCAATGATGCTCTGGCAACATACGACGATCATGTGAAGCCCGTACCCATCGTTGGTTATTACCTAGATAAGATAAACCAAGAGTTGCGTAGACCTGATGATTGGCGATTTATCTTATGCCCAGTAAAGGGTGCGTGTCTTGGAGAAGAGGGTTGTTCTGAATCTATGACAGCTTATTTGTGTGCTGAGTGTAAGAAGGGTTATACAAGCAACTTCAGGAAGGGAACCTTGTGTACAAAGTGCCCACCTACACTGAGCAACTTGTTGTTGACCATAGCATGGTACCTCGGTTTGCTTTTGGTTAACATCGTCATAGCTTGTCTTAACGTTAGTGCCGGTTACAATCGTCGTTCCATTCACTCCGTGGTCATTAAGATTGCGCTGAATTATGGTATTTGTATGTCCGTCTTAAACGTCGTCAACTTCGCGGATTTCCCCTTGCCTGAAGAACTGAAGTCTGTCACGCGACGCTGGTTTAAGCTTTTGTATAGAGGGAATCAAACCTTTTACACGTCGATTGACTGTCTGTTACAGGATTGGTTTGGTCTTGGGCATGCGGATTCGTTTTTCTACAGTATGTTATTCATCGCATGTCTACCAGTGATTTTGTTGGTTGTTGTGACTGTGCTGATGTGGGTAATTTTGGAGTTGTTCAAGATCAAGCGTCATTCGACGACACGTTCTAAATTGGCGTTATTGTATCAGTCTTCGGTGCAGGGTATGCATTATTTGTCAGATCGTCTCCGTGATGAGTACTCCAACGAGCGTCTGTTTTTGATCTTCCGTTACATCCCCCTGCCGGGTGAGACTAATTGGGTACGTTTCAAGCACTTTTTGGAAGACATGATTCCGATTTATGTGACAGTGCTTTTCTCAGTACACGGTAATACTACGAGTCAGATGTTGAGTCTTCTAGACTGCACATGTATCCACTTGGGTCAGTCCATTCCAAGTAAGTATGTGTTGAGGCCTGCCATGAGCATCAAATGTTCACTTGACCCGAGCAAGGGTTATATACCATACTTGCTATTAGGTCTAGGTGGTTTGATCTTCTGGGGATTCGGTATTCCATTCTTCTCCTACATTGTGTTGCTGATGAACCGTAAGAACTTGTATGCGCCAGATGTGCGTATGAAGTACGGTTTCTTACACAATGGTTATCAACAAGATTACTGGTTCTGGGAAGCCATTGTGTTCACACGTAAGAGTTTGGTTCTGGTTATTGGTAGTATTGTGATTGTGCCGTCAGAGAACACAAGTGCTTCACGTATATGGATGGCTCTCGCTGTTGCGGTGGTGTTCCTTATCATACAGCTAATCTACAAACCATTCGATGAACGGGACTATTTCGTACTCGGAAGACTAGAAAGTCACAGTATGATATCATGGACAGCCAATCTATTGGTCGTGTCGCTGATGTGTTACGTTACAATGACACCATTCGTCGTTACGCTTGCGTGTGCATGTCTGCTGATCAATTCAGGATACTTTTTATATGTTTTGGTAACCAGTTTAGTTCGCTCCCTGATTGAGAAGCTGAAGTACAAACGTCACAACAGATTCTTCCGTAAGATCAGCTGGCTGGTGGAAGCTCTACTGTTATTCGACTCTCGTCGCAATTTACGTGAACCCGTGATATCCTACAACCAACGCACGTCTCAGCTACAGGTGAGGCTCCCTCGACATCGTTACACTTGGTTCGGCAAGAAGTCGGCGGCGCTAAAGCATCTTGAACGTTATTATTTCGTAAATGTTGTTACGGAGTTGTATCGCATTGTTGTACGTCATCTGAAGTTGGACGTTATGCCTAAATCGCTCATTGAGTTTTTAGTTCGTCTTTCGCTTTCATTCACTCGTTTTGAGGAGAAGATGGGCAAGAGAGAGCTTTTCCAGGAGCTCTCTCAGGGTGATCTATCGACGCTCGTTGCATGGGCGACTGATAAGGAGTCTCGTAAGCTGCACAAGATCGTAAAACTGGACAGTATGGAGGGTGGTCAAACACTTGCCAACATGGTGGTTGATGATCAGAACCTCAGTGCCGCCATTGGTCTGCGCCATGAGGAACTGCAGTTTATTATGGACTGTCTGTTTGATGATAAAGTGCTAGAGAGCAACACAACCTTGTCCGATTTTTACCACTCCCTAACGCGTATTTGGATCATGGACACAGATATGCTTACATTCTTGTTTAGTGTGTTCAAACACGTGAAAGCCCAGCGCAGCAAGGAATCTATTGACGGCATTGTGGTGGCTAATGAGAAACTGAGGAAAACGGAGATGATGCTGCAAAGTGTTGTGGATGACGATGATGATGGCGACGCTTTCACAGCTCATAAGAGCATAGCTGACATGGAAACGCATCTGGAGAAACTATTGGGTGAAAAAGATCGTCTGAATACACACCTGAAGAATATGCGTGACAATCCAGACCTGTATGTTCCAGAGGATGAGGAAGGCAAAGATACATCAATGGATTCTCTGATGATGGACCTAGGTTTTAGTGTCAAGAACGCCTTAGAACGAGCCATGTCCGATGAGTCATCCAGCGAGTACGATACAGAAACTGATTCTGACGCCTCTAGTGATGAATCGGAAGACACTAGCGACGATGAATCTGATGACTAACATCACTCTAATGTCACATAATATAGTGTTCGTTATACGCTATAGTTTTCTTAGCTAGATTGTCAGTTGTGGACAACGTAATACATACGCCATTTTGCCGATTCTGATTTCATTTATCATCTCGTCGTGCAATAGAGGTTCTTCGGAACCCCAATTGTTCCATTTGATCTTCGAATGTATCAGAATCTATCTCTTCCAGGGCTTCCAACGGGTTTTCTTTGAATCTCTGCAACTTGCTCTCTAATTCTTCTATGCAACGTCGCTCGTTAGCTATTTCCTCATTAGCGGAAGCCATATGCTCAACTACATTGTACTTAGGGTCTCGAATACGGCGCAACAACGCTTCGATCTGTTTCACCTTCTCACATTGTGCTAGCACCATCTCCCTCTCAACATCTTGACGTAAGATTTTGAATGCCTCGTACGTTCTAACCACTGAATAAATGTCCTTCATCTTGATAATTGACAGAGCCATGTAGAAGTCAGATAGAGGAATGCCATTAGTGATGACCTCCCTGTCAAAAAGCAAGGCAGGTGGTACTACGTGCTCTCCATCATCACCGTTAATTGTAGAGGCGAAGCTGTGCAAACTTCCGAGCTGCATTTTGTTTTTCCTGGCTTCCATCATCGCCAAGTTAACAAGCTCCTCAAAATTACCATCGGCAAGTGACCGAACAATGTCGTCTGTCTTTTTTTGGCTTAGCTCATGGAAGTTAACTGCAAATGCAAGTCTTGAGATGTATTCGGGGAAGTCCGTAGGAATTATATCCAGCTTCATGTGAATAGTGGCAAAGTTAATCACCTCAGTCACAATGTGAGTAAAGTAGACCTTCTCGGAGTAGGTCAGCTTTCGGTTAGCTTCGTTGAAAGCATACCATTGGGCCGATTTTGGCGAGCTCAAATCTATGGTACGACTTTTTTCATTGAATATGATAAGTGGTTCACGCATCTTCCGTTTCTCCGATATCGATGCCAGCGACCGATTGATCTGGTTTATTATAGAGGTGCTACAGTTGTCCTTACGAATGCGAACATTGTCACAATACGCCAATCCCAATTCCAGAACTACTTCCGCAATGAAACAGAAGTTGATAATCGATGTAATGGTCAATAGGTACATGTTATTATATGCCGAAAACTCCCCTTCGACTGCAAACAAACAGAAAATGAGAGTCATTGTCCATGATATCATACTGTGACTTTCTAGTCTTCCGAGTACGAAATAGTCCCGTTCATCGAATGGTTTGTAGATTAGCTGTATGATAAGGAACACCACCGCAACAGCGAGAGCCATCCATATACGTGAAGCACTTGTGTTCTCTGACGGCACAATCACAATACTACCAATAACCAGAACCAAACTCTTACGTGTGAACACAATGGCTTCCCAGAACCAGTAATCTTGTTGATAACCATTGTGTAAGAAACCGTACTTCATACGCACATCTGGCGCATACAAGTTCTTACGGTTCATCAGCAACACAATGTAGGAGAAGAATGGAATACCGAATCCCCAGAAGATCAAACCACCTAGACCTAATAGCAAGTATGGTATATAACCCTTGCTCGGGTCAAGTGAACATTTGATGCTCATGGCAGGCCTCAACACATACTTACTTGGAATGGACTGACCCAAGTGGATACATGTGCAGTCTAGAAGACTCAACATCTGACTCGTAGTATTACCGTGTACTGAGAAAAGCACTGTCACATAAATCGGAATCATGTCTTCCAAAAAGTGCTTGAAACGTACCCAATTAGTCTCACCCGGCAGGGGGATGTAACGGAAGATCAAAAACAGACGCTCGTTGGAGTACTCATCACGGAGACGATCTGACAAATAATGCATACCCTGCACCGAAGACTGATACAATAACGCCAATTTAGAACGTGTCGTCGAATGACGCTTGATCTTGAACAACTCCAAAATTACCCACATCAGCACAGTCACAACAACCAACAAAATCACTGGTAGACATGCGATGAATAACATACTGTAGAAAAACGAATCCGCATGCCCAAGACCAAACCAATCCTGTAACAGACAGTCAATCGACGTGTAAAACGTGTGACTCTCACGATAAAGCATCCTTACCCAGTTGAGCGTAGTAGATTTCAGCTCCTCCGGTAGGGACAATTCTCCGAAGTTTATGACGTTTAACACGGACATACAAATACCATAATTCAGCGCAATCTTAATGACCACGGAGTGAATGGAACGACGATTGTAACCGGCACTAACGTTCAGACAGGCCATAACTATGTTAACCAAAAGCAAACCGAGGTACCACGCTATGGTCAAGAATACATTCGTCAAGGTTGGTGGACACTCATTACACAAAATACCCTTCTTGAAGTTGTTTGTATAACCCATCTTACACTCAGCACACAAATAAGCCGTCATGGATTCAGAACAACCCTTTTCTCCAAGACACGCACCCTTTACCGGGCACGAGATAAACCGCCAATCGTCAGGCTTGCGCAACTCCTGGTTTATCTTATCCAGATAATAACCGGCTATGGGCACGGGTTTTACATGATCGTGGTATGTTGTCACAGCATCAGTTGTATCACCGGAATCCTTCTTCTCTATCAGACCACCATCACATCTTGCTCCTTCAACACACGGCGCACATATACCCCCGGACAAGTAATAGTATCCCTTCTGGCAATAACATTGGCTTG